GAACAAAGGACCTTTTCTCTTTTCTCCGTGCTTTTCTTTTTCAGCCTAAGAGGCTGAGTAAAGCAGGTGAATTTTCATTCTAGAAAGCAGAGAAGATAGAATAAGCTCGGCTGCTTTCACCTAGTGCACTTTGCCTTTTTCACAGATCTCAAGATTATCCAGAGCTCCAATCCAAGTGGAAAGAGGACAAAACCACTACATGAAGCGGTGCCTCCACTTTGGCTGTAGGCTGTGTGTAACCGGGCAGGGAGCATCTGCAAGGATAAGGCTGTACAAACTCAGCCTCATGGGATGAAAAACAGCAGGAAAGCACTGCAGTTGCTGCTCTGTTCCAGGCTCAGCATCGTGGCACTTCCACCTTTGCCTAATGAGCAAACCATGAAAGTCTGACGGTAAAACTTTTCCTAAACACCAACACCACCAATTCAAAATCAAGCATAATCCCACCCAAAGTTTTCAGGGCTTTGGTTAAAATAGAATCTATGGAAGTGCTAGTGGTTCAGTGGCTGCAGGGAGATGAGCTCTGCCTGTGCCCATGCTGACCTGGTGCTGCAATGAATGTTCCATGATGTGGGACAATAAATAGTATACATGTCCCTCTCCAGAGCTCACCACGTGGCTTAGAGTGCAGAGGATGCTTTTCTATTGCAACTTGCCAGCAGCACATTCTATGTGTGTGTGTGTTTTTTGTTCTATGTTCCTTGGCCAAGTGACATTTTCCACAGATGGTGCCTGAGCTCAGTCTGCACCTGCACACGTATGTAAATGGGGCCACAATTACCCAGTTTGTTGGAACTGTTCTTTCAGCCTAAGCCCTTTTTTCCTCCCTTTGTATGCTTAGAGCAAAAGAATTTGATCTCTTGCATACACCAAATTTTTACTGCAACGGATGCACTACAATTACTGTCTTCTCCTACTGTACAAATCGAATTTGTTGTTCATTTATTTCCCCTTTGGCATACAGCCTCTTTGTTGCTGTTTTCTCAGCATATATCACCATAACCAAAAAGCAAGCTGCAGTATCTGGAAGCTATACCTACGTTATTAAATAACTCTGAGAATACTCACGGGGAGATGGGCTTTTTCTGGCTTGAAAAGCATAGCAGAGTGAAAGGGCTGAATTTCATTTTGCTAAGGTTCTTGCAGGAATACTAGAACAAATGGGCAGCTCTTTCTGTGTAATATAAACATAGATCTAAGTGCTTCCTGGTCCTCTTGGAGAATGAGTGTTTAGAAACATAAGTCTGGGGGTGGCTTCCTGGGTTGTTTCATCCTTGGAGTTGATTTAAATAGGTTGGAGCTTGAGGTGGCCATGGGAGGTGATTGAGTGACTGTTGACATTTATAAGGATTCAGGATCCTTGTGAATCAGAAACATGATTTGGAGGAGGGTGGAAAAGCTGAGGGCAAAGGTAGAGTTGCAGACTTCTCACATCACAGAATTTTTCCCTGCCAGCTGGCATAACTGCGCCACACAGTGCATATCTCAATGGAAGTCCCTCTGCCCGAACTGAATGGATGCAGCAGAGATGCAGCTCAGTGTGGAGCGGGATGGACAGAGGTGTCTGGCTGATGGCAGTTTTGGCAGTTTCACTGCCCAGGCAGTGCTGAGTCTGGTCTGATACAAACTGGCACACTTCAGTGTGGAGGCTCATATGGCAAACATTGATGCTTGGCATGTATTCTTGAACTGTTTCCCTCTTAACTTGCCATACTTCTGTCTTTGCTATCTGTTTTTAATTCTGTCTCTGGTCCACACACAGTGAGATGTCTGCATTGTATCGCAGAGGGACTGAATGATGCCTTGCCCTGAGTATTCAGACACCTCCTGCCATCCCAAGAGTCATGCAGCAGGTCAGCCTGGTGCTGCAGTGTGTAAGGTAAGATATTCTGGTGCTGATTTCCCCACACACAATTTTTAGTAAAATTCTGTAGTGTCTTTAGCCTTACATAATGTAGAAAGATAAGCTGTCTCTAATCTACTTATTAGAAGATCTACAGCTCTGCAGGTCAATGAAGAGTCAAAAGCATCGTTTAATAGCTGACCTGTGTTGCTGGCCCCTGCCTGTAAGTGGGTTCTTGCAGGGAATCCAAAGCAGCTGCTTGGCAAGGATCGGTGATGTGTCTGTGCAAATCACAGACTGGGGCCAGAGGCTGATTATTTCTGAGTCGGTGGCATTTTTTCCTTCCAGGAATGTTGTGTTATTGTGTCTGAAATGTTGTCTTTCTCCTATGCAGTGACAGAGGCTGACCTTGCTCCCACTGCTGCTCTGGGGTCCTTGCTCACAAGGATGTGGAGGAGAGGGGATACTTCCCCTGGGTTTATTCTTAGTTCAAAATACTACCAGGAAAAAAACCCTGTAAAATCCCCACTGGGGAGGTTTATCCTCAATTACTGCTGTCTCATTTCCCCCCATCAAATTCCTCATGGACTTGTCATCAGCATTCATCTTGCTTGTGCGGTTGGTTCCGCCCTGACCCACACTGTTCCCTAGAGGGGAGGGGCATCCTTGTCTGAGTCAGATGAGCTCTGCTCACACCCTGCATCCTCCATGCTCTGATGTGTGCTTTGCAAGCACCAGCCGTTCTCAGGCTCACTGCAACACACTTGGCTGTATGCTGCACATTCACACTGCAGCACCTAGTTCTTGTTTTAGGCTGGATCGATGGGTTGAGGCAAATTGTAGAGGCTCAACAAGACCAAGTGTCAGGTACTGCACTTTGGTCACAACACCACCATACAGTGCTACAGGCGTGGGGCAGAGTGGCTGGAAAGCTGTGCGGAGGAAAAAGTTCTGTGGATGTTGGCTGATGCTCGGCTGAAGTCAGCAGTGTGCCCAGATGGCCAAGAAGGCCAATGGCATCCTGATTCTTATCAGAAATAGTGCAGCCAGCAGGAACACTGAGACGATGGTCTCTCTGTACTCAGCACTGGTGAGGCTGCACCTTGAGGGCTGTGTTCAGTTTTGGAATTCTCACTACAAGAAAGACATTGAGTCTGTGGAGCTTCTAGCCCAGGGATCTGCAGGACTCATGTTACAGAGCTGATGCTCACGAAACATCAGATTTCTTTGTTGCAGGGCTTGGAAAGAAACAAGAGCACATTTTGGTGCTGGGTGAAAGATGTATAACGTTGTCTTCCTCCCATGACACCATAGGCTGCATTGAGATCATCTGCAAACTGCTTCTGCAGGTACCAACTTCAGAACTGCTTAGGGAAGGTTAGTTGCACAGGAGGACTTGCAAACAGCTGACACTTGTGCTGACAGGAGGGTAAAAAGACAATGAAACGTATCTGACAGGCACACTCTTGCCTTGCACAAGGCTCTGAGAGGAGAGCATTTGTCAGAAAGGATGCAGTGGGTACATGGCTGGCCATGTTGTGCTGCCTGCAAAAAGGTCTCTGGTGTCTTCAAGCGCCACTTATTCTCAAATCATGAAAAATGCTTACAAGCCAGTGTTGATGCAAACAGAGCTAAAAAAAAAATATCTGGTAAGGTTCCACAGCTAAGCACTTTGGCACTAATCTTGTGGTTGGACATGTGTGGGCTTGTGTCCTTGCAGAGCCCCTCGGATTACAGAGGAAGCATACACAGGGTTGTAAACCACCTGTTTGGCTGAGATTTTGCTGGATAGGGTCTTAGTTTGGGGTTTTGAAAGGCAGCTGGGTGATTTTAATCCATGTGTCCATTAATTTTCACCAGGAACTATAACGCATAGATGACTTTTGACACTTTTGTCACTTTCTTGTTTACCAAGTATTGGGTAAATGTTTCAAATTTTCAGTTTTTTTCCAGCCATTCTCGCTCTTTCATCCCACTATAATCTACCTTGTTACCAGTCATCGGGGTTCAAATTTTTGTAGAATCATTAAGATTAGAAAAGACCACTAAGATAATCAAGTCTGACCCCAGCCCATCCCCACCATGCTTGCTATCCATGTCTCTCAGTGCCATACCGTCATGTTTCTTGAACACCTCCAGGAACAGTGACTCCACCACTTCCCTGGGCCCAGCTATTTCTGTAAACCCCTTGGCTTCAACTAGTTAGACACCAGCCAGTTATATGAGAAGCTTTGGATGGAGATACTTAGAAATCCATGGGATTTGCATAGGTTCCACTCTACTGCATATGCACCGAATCTTGGTGAATCCAAAATTGAATGAGTCACCCCAAAATAAAAAAAATTGCTTAACTGAATCTTGAATTTCGATTAGATTTTTCTAATGGCAAAACAAACATTAAATAATAGCTGAGTGGTTAGTTTTAGAGCCTGGGACCTGTGGTATGTGTGCACTCAAGTTTTTTCTTGGTGGTGATGGGATCTTAGTAAACACAGTTCCTACAAGGTTGGTGACAGTAACCCCAAGTCTTTTCAGTAACAAAAGACAACTGCCTTCTTTGTTAAATATAGTGCTGCTAAAAAATGCCCCAGAAGTTTGTCCTGGTGGAGAGGCTGTTTTTCCTTAAATCAGTGCTCCATGTCAGAGCTGTGCTCTCAACACACGTCTGTTCCTCAAAGGTCCCTTCACTTCTATGCCTTCCAAGGTCAAGCTTCAATGCGAGATTTGAAGATGTTAAATGTCATCAAACAGTGGGGCAGTTTGTTAAGCACGCTCAGAATCTAAGACAATTGTCTTTTTCTGCCCTTGCTGCACAAGCTTAAAAATGTAAAGAAATTCCAGCAACTTGCTAGCAAATTTAGTATTATCTGGCCTGCTCTTCTGATACAGCGACTTCTGCATATATGCCCAGTGTTCCCTGCCTATCACATGGGTTATATTTTCTGTTCTTTGCCATTGCAGCTTTTATTAAGTGTTTCTTGGGCTGAGTCCCACTGAGTCAATGGAAAAGTACTGCTGCTGCACTGGAAGCAGGAACTGGCTGTTGGGTTCTTTCTAGTCTGAACTTGACACTGGCTGTAATTCACGACATATGCAGCAAGATGGGTAATAACAGTCCAGTGACAAGTGTTACCTTTTATTCTGACAAGGTAAATTAGTATATGTGTATGTGTGCCTATCTCCTCTGTCTTCTGTTGTGCTCTGCTTTCAGAGTTCCTTCTTTAGGATTGTAGTGACGCTTTGCACAGAAGATTTGAGAGTTGTAACTTTCAGTAGGAAAAGAAATGCTAAGCTTTGTCAGATGTTTGAACCAGTGTTTGAGGTCAGCCAGATTAGAGGAAAATGCTCGTTGAGAGTTCTGCCCTGTTAATGAATTGTAGCACTTTTGCACTCGTTAGATATCAGCCCAATATAGGCTGGCACTCCTGTGGCTATCTAGGGAGCATATGGCTAATGTGATCCAGCACCACATGACAACCAAGATCAGGACACTGGAACTCTCAGATCACCAGGGCTGAGTTCTCCCTTGCTTTGAAGGCGAGATCACGGGCTGCACGTAGAGATGAGTGAAGATGTTTGCTGCTAATCCTGTTGGCTGGGATGTGTTGGCATCACCCCAGGTGAGAGAGTTTTTGCTTATCTCATACGTGGATGAGGAAAGTAGGCCTAAAAGAAAAAGAAGTTCTTGCAGAAAGAAGCCTTCAGAAGTACTAAGTGCTGGGGAAAGTGAGTACTTATTTTCAGTTTGGAAAAGGGGATTCTGAGCTGTAGGCTGTGCACAGACATGTGCATCCTGTATCTGGTATACTGCAGAGACTCCATCTACTGAGATTGAACTTTGCAGAACATGAAAACCAGCCAATGCTTCCACTGTATAGCACATACTTAGGAAAATGGCTCTGTTGTACCCGGCTTTACATCTTAAAATACAAAGAGACTGCATTGTACTTTCCAGGCACGGCCTGAATGCAAATTCATAAATATGGTTTATATGGCTGCTTTGCTTCCACAAGCTTTTTCTTACAGTCCCTACTTACTAAAATGTTAAGTCCTTCATTGAAATTCCACCTCCAGAAGAACAGCCCTCAATCAGCTGTCCCTGGGAAAACAGAGCAAGCTATGACAGCAGAAGCATTGTGATGAGCTTCCCCTATGCTCTCTTGGCATTTACTGAAAATTTTCCATTATTTTGGATAAGGGGTCAGTGCTCCTCTGGAATCTCATTTGTGCTTTTGATTCTCTATTATCTGTCAAAACATAGCATCATTTAAAACAAGCACCAGAATCAGAAACCAGCCTTTGGATAACTTGGGAAGAGCCTGTTTTAATAATGTTTTTTTCAATGATTCTGTGACTCAGGTAGCAATGAGCTGCCATACCCGTCTGACCCTGTACATTTAGATATAAATTGTTTTCTACAAGATCAAAGATCTGCACATTTTTTTCATGTTCCATCTTGCGAAGGCATAAATATCTGTTATATTTTGTCCTAAACATGGGAAAACAGAATCTACTGTAAAGTGTGCCATGGATGTGACTATCCTTGTGTTTTGTTAGTGTCCTCACTGGGACTGATCTTGATCTAGAATTACTATCCTGTATTTCCCTTTTTCATTTTTTTAAAAAAGATGTATTTTAAGGTGTCTCTCTATGTGCACACAATGACATCCAAGGACTTTCAGACAGACTTTGCAAACTTACAGCTCTCTGTTCTCCTGTTCAATAGCATCCTTAACAGCACCTTGCCATGCTTGTTGACATTGCTGCTCTGGCCTCAGTAATGAAGATCATTGACTCAAGCTGACTTTTATCCCTTCTCTGGCTGATTGAATCCCTCTCAGTTTGAAGAGATCCACCTCCTCTAGGTTTGATTTTGACAGAATTGCTTCCAGTACCCATACTTAGAAGCAGATATCTTACAGTGATATCTTACAGTTGTAAAATTGATAACAAAGATGAGGAGAGAGGAAGAAAATATGAAGACAGAAGGGGAGGAGGCAGACAGTGCAGCAGACAGTGCGGGCTATTGCCTAGCTTAATCAAACAGCTGCTTTTGGTAGCTAGGAGGTTACAGCAGATGTTTTACAAAGGCAGAATGTGTGTTTCAGTGTATAATTAGATGCTTACAATGTAGTGATATGGATAATTATCACCATTTCAAAAATGAAAATCCTTCTTTATTTTTTTTTCTTTTTATTTTGTTTTACAGCTATTTCGTGGTCATGAAGTACTGTCCTGCACCAGATCCTGATGCACTTACTGACTGTGAACATGACTGCAGACCCAGGACAGCCAAGTGCTAGCCCATACAACTGAGGTTGTCATGATCTGGCCCCATCATCTCTTTCAGAGAGTGGCAATCTCTCCTCTGATCCATGTGGACATTTTGTGAAGTGAAGTCCTTAATTTCAAGCCTTGCAGCTTGCACATGTGTGCCTGCCAGCCACCAGGGACTAGTAGGATTCCAGTGAGAACTGGCACTTTTGATTTTCCTTGCCTTGCACTGGGAGATATATGAGAGTTTGTTTATGTGAGATTTGGGAGAACAAAGGCAAATTAAATCCCACCCTTCCAATAAGATATATATTTTTTCAACCTTGAAGTAAATTTTCTATGTCTGTGTGTTTTGGCTTTTAAACTCAATAGCCTGCAGGCATTCACCACGTCAGCAAAGAAATGGAAAGCTCATTATTACACTATTAGAAGGTTTAAGACTGAAAACCAGAGTCTATAACAACAGCGAATAGGATATCAAAGACATGTCCCTCTGCTTGATCCTTCCACTGAACTGGAGCTGGACCGATGCTGTGAAGGGTGTTTTGTTGTGCCTGCACACTCCCCAACCATTTCAGAATGTTGAGGTGTAATGGCTTCTTTTATTATTTAAATAATATTATTTCATATTCTTATTTGGCCAGATCAGAAGAATCAAATCAGATAATAGCATGAGCTCTGGAGGCAAAGGAGTGCTATGAACAAGAATTCACTCCCTTGGCATTATTCATCTGAGCAGTGCATCTGTGACACCAGTATGCCATGAGTTTCACAGGGCAGCTACCTCAGCACTATAACTGCCACACAGATCTCTCTATGCATTTTACTGGGAAAAAAAAAAAAAAAAAGGCAAAAAAAAAAAGGCATTGTGAATTTTGGCAGTTGGAGGTCATTTAGGCTATTGTGTGTATATGGCACTTGGATAAAAGGTTGCCTTCTTCTGCCCTGGGCTTCCTCTTCTGATTCTCATTGGTCCCTTTGGACCATTATCCTGCTGATCTCCATCATATTTTTTCCACTAAATCCCCACCTGTTACGCTTGCACTACTTGAACTTTTTCCCTACAGGCAGTATTTTCTCTATTTTCACTCTATTTTATTTTCTATTTCTATTTCTATTATATTTCTATTATATTTCTATTTCTATTTTCACTCTGTTTTATTTTTTGTGACTTTTGGGGACATTTCCCATTTCCAGCATATCTTTCAGGACAGTGCACTGAGCTGACTTGATGCAGAGCGATACAAATCCCACACACTTGTACAGGACATGTTTCCACTCCTATGCCCCATTGTTTTAATCCTGCAGGATCCTTCCCCATGCTGAGGCAAGGGAAGGACCCTGCTGTGTGCAACTTCATTTTGCACCCATGTGAGCATTGTGCTTGCTTTGAAGTATGCAGGTTGCAGTCAGATGGGGTCTGCTATTTTGGGGTAGGTATCACCACCAAAAGCAAAATGAATCTGTCACAAAACCACTTCTACATCAGCAGCAATTTTAAGCCTTCATCTGCACATCTTTCCTAGGAATGAAGTTTCCTATATTCTGCACTGTTCATTCCCTAAGGGGAAAAATATCTGCTTGGAGCAGGTCCACAGGGGATTCAAAAATTTCCCTGAGGAATGCATCCCTGAGCCAAAAGCATCAGGTGCAGCTGATCACAGTCAGTCTGGGGCTGCTGAGGGGCTGGGAAGGTTGATGTGGGTTTTGGGCTAGAAGCTATAAGCAGGCAGTCTGGAGGCTGATAGTGCTGTCCAACCTGTACTCTTTTCTTGGATATGTGATTTTTGCCAAGGCTTGCAGAGGGTGCTCAGGGGGCTGTGCTGATTAAGTGGAAATCACAGGTAACAAATCTCAGTTGCAGAAGCGAAGTGTATTGTTGAGTGGGGCCTGGATGTATGGGAACCTCCAACATTTTATATCATTTCTGTCTGCTTCAGATGAATATGCTGATACTGACCTTTAAAAGGCAAAAGAGAGCCAAGCTGGCTGGCTTTGCTTGCAGAGTTCTGCTGTTGCGTCTTGGTAGTCACAAGTGCAAAACACAATCGGTGCTTAGGACCAGTGATAAAACCCAAGGGAATGGCACGAAGCTGTGACGAGGGGGCTGAGATTGGATATCAGGAAAAGGTTCTTCACTAGAGGGAGGTGGACATGGCACAGGTACCCCAGGGCAAGGGGCACAGCCCTGGGCTGCCAGAGTTCAAGAAGTGTATGGATAATGCTCTCAGACAGAGGGTTTGGGTGGTTCTGTGTGGAGCCACAGGTTGGACTCAATGATCTTCAGGAGTCCCTTCCAACTTGGGACATTTTATGATTCTTTGAACTTTGATTTTTGAGACATGGCAGTCGCATATAAAAATTCTTTGGTCCTGGTGAGAGAGGCTGTGGTTCAGGGTGTTATCTCCCCATGGTTTGTTTCTAATGCTGTGATGTTTATTAGGAATTTCCAGGTGCCCTCTTGAGTTCTACTGGGAACCATGGCACTAACTGGTGTCTGAGCTTACACAGAAAACCCAATGCTGGAATTTTAAGAATGAGACTTGCTGATACCAAATAGTACAGAGACTTTATATCATCTGTTAATGCCAGAAATTAATTTGATTTTCATTTCCACACTGGAAGACGGTTATATCTAAACCTTCAGCCCAGCCTACCCTTGATGAGCAAGCCCTGGTTCACACAGAACCAAAGTGGGAAGATGATCATTTCCACTCTCTGTAGGCTTTGGTTGTCTGTAATGAGACCTGATGAGGCACAAGAACAACATCATTTCATCTGTGTCTGAGTGCTTCAGCAGACACAACACTGAATTGATGACAAAAGTGTGTGGCAGCAGTTACTGCCTTGAGGGTTGTTTTGGGAGAAAACACAAAAAAAATCATTTAACTCCCTTCCTCACTGCTGTAAGTTAATCGGAACATGCTTTATTCCCAACACAATTATAAATTTAAAAATGAATACAGCTGAAAAGAGGGACTGGATGGTGCACAGCACAGGCTGGAGCAGAGTTTACAAAAAGCTGCCTTTTAAATCTTATGCCTACATTCTGTTTCTCTCTGGAACAAAATACGATACTTCCAGCCTACAATATGAAGTGAGTCATAATATTGCCATTCTGCTCCCAGCATAATTGAGCATACCTATGGTATGAAGTGGGAGAAATATTTGGCCAAGAAGAAAGCTCCAGAATTTTATGTACTGTCAAGACGTGCTTAATAAATGGAGAGTATTATTTTCATATTGCGTAATTCAGACTTTCCTCATTCTGGGGTTGTTTCAGCAAAACATGCAAGTGTGTGCTTATCTTTAATTAGTGTTTAAGCCAAGATGGCTGTTAGCATACTTATGGGAAGGGACTTTTCAAAGGGCTGGGCTTCTATACATGCATGGAGGCAATCATGTGCTTGAACCTGCATCGGGGCTAAAGGAACTCTTGCAGGTAGATGTGGAGGGTGGGTGTTAGTGGCAAAAAGCACATATATTTGCCATGATATGTGGTCATTTATTCTGTCCTGCTGCTGTTTTCATAAGGACAGACTTCAGCGTCTCTGCTATCATCCATGTGAGCATGGACTCAGCTGGAAAAGCTTTAGGGCAGAGTATGAAGCCCTCATCCTGACAATGACAATGAGCACATTGCCTTCAGCAGGCCAGATTTCATTCCCTGCATGTGAAGAGACTCTGAGACAGAGAGGAGTAATCATGTTGTATGTGGCTGGTTGTGAAATATTTTGGCAAAGGAAACAGAGCTTGATCTTGAACTCTTCCAGGTGAAAAATACAGTCAGGAGTGATGTGAACACAAAAAGGCAAGTGAGGCAGCTTGTGGGTGAAGCTTTGGTCTACGACACCAACGATGTAGCCTCGATTCCTGCCCTCAGCTGTGTGACTTTCCCCATGGCAGTGTTTCCCTTCAAATTAAATGGGAGCACTGAAAAAAATTTGCTTTTAAATGAAGCTGGATGAACTCTCATATATCACTGTGGTCATACAAGAGACAATCCACGGGTTGAACTTAATGTTTATTTAGTATAGCTCACTCCTCTATATTAACTGCAGTTATTATTATTAACTGCTGTGATGCCTGCTGTCCACAGGGCTTTCATGATCAAGAATATATGAAATAACAGTTGTTCATTTTATTTTTAAGCATTCAATAGCATGCAGTGAGTTGTTTAACATTAGGCAGTGTGTGCTCTCATATGAAGTGTGTTTTTTGACCAAACAGCCCAAAAATCTCTCTTGCCCTTCGTGATGAGAGCTCACAGAATCAGAGCACCAATGAACATTTGAACCCTCCAGAGTGTGAAGTAATAATGGCCAGCTGGTGTCAGTGAGCAAATGGATAAGATATGAGGATTAAATCTGATTTATACCACGCCACTGAGAACCTCTAAAAGACTGGTTTGGATTGGTTTTCAGAGGATTTCAGAACAATCTCTGCCCTTTCTAAAAATCAACATTCCTCTGTTCTTTTTTCTAAAAAGCAGGATCTTTGGACTTCCAGTTTAAGAATAAATTCTGGAAAACAGATGGATCTACTGCTGCTGAGATCCTCTGGTAGAATTAAGAAGAGAAAATCAGTAGGACATATATGCCTACATATAACTTGAAATTCCTTTCCTTCTGTTAAAACGATAAATTGTTATTGCTGTACTCATGGGCAGCCTGCATTCTCCGAGCAGACTCGTTGTTGTTGAACAGAGAGATTGAGAAAGTCAGATGTTTCCCAGGAAATGATGGTCAGCGATGGACTGGTACTCAGGAAGCCAACGATAATGTGATCTGGGTATGGAAAAAATGTTTGTCTTCTTGTAAACATAGGAAAACAGTGAAGACAAATTATTTTTTATAATTTTCAGTGAAGAAAAATTAATAATCATAATTAATTATGATTGTTATCCTAAGCTTATGATTCCCTTTGTAATTCTTTAACAAATTGAAACAATAATTTGAAGAATATCAGAGGAGTATCCTTTCGAGCAGCTCACATCAGCCAGTGTTCCTTATAACAAACTGGCTTTCCTCCACAATAATGTTTCTTCAGAGTTTTTTTCCAGCCCTGTTCCTTTGGATGTATTGATTTCCCATAGGCTTGCATCTTCCTACAGTAAGATTTATTTTTTTTTTTTGAAGTTGGCTACATGTCTGGGAAATACACACCCTTATGTTCCAAGAGGGCAGAAGGAGGTATTTCTAGAAATAGCAAAATGACAAACAAATAGTGAGAAATTTTGGTCTTGGCCACCTTACTATAAACTCAGCCCATAGGTCTTTTTTCAGAACTGAGGTTTCCCATCTGTCAATGGGTGGATATAAACTCCAGCGGATGTTGAAGAGACATCTGGAGTGTATCCATTGCACTTCCAGTGTCAGTGAGCATCACCCAGTTACCATATATTTTTTGCTGACCTAGGGGAATTTGTGGTCTTCCCTCCAAATGGGTAATGGCAAAAATTCTGATGTGTCTAACATCCTCTTCTGTGGCTATTAGGAGTCTCTGATACTGAGACCCCTGCTTAGTGCTTGTCCTCCCACAGCCAAACTTAATGAGTGTCTTTTATAAGCTAATGGGTTGGGTGCTGAGGGATGAGCTCTCTGCTGTGCTGCAGAGGAGACCCTGATGTCAGTGACGGTGCCATTAGCAATGGGGGAACCAGAAAAGTTCAGCTTTCAACGAAGCTGAATAAGTGGATTTGAACCACACTGGAACAAAAATGAGGACAGGAGATTTTCCAAGGAACCCAATGTGCTTCTTTTCAAAACCCAGCAACAGGATTTGAATGGGCTCTCAAGTTCCACATGGTGCCTTCAAAAACTCCAGCATAAGTTTTAAGGAAGAGAAAGAGAAGATTTTCCATCCTTCCACATTCCAAAGCACCCAAACAAGGAGGAAAGTCTTCCAGGCAGTCACATTTTTTCTACACCAGAAATGACTCCATTGTACAAAGCAAATGCCAAGGCCCAGGTTTGTTCTGGTCTTTGCACGTATTTTTCAAATCAGTGTTTATTTTGCCTGATCTGCCCTGACTTTCTGGTTCCTGTTTCTGTTGTCTCCCATTGTTGTTGGTGAACTTTGGCCCTTACCGGGATTATGGTGGAGTTGCCTTTGTTTGAGGAGGTACATGGGAGATTTTTCAGTGCTGTTGTGCTGTGAGAAAAGGAGGGGCAGCACTTTTGGCTTTTCCATCCCATTCAATCCCTCTTATCTCCTCCTGCCTCTCCTATGGGCTGTATTTCATCAGCAGCCATCCTGGCACTTGTGGTTGCCCCTTGCCCACTCTCCTATATTGAGGTGTGGAGCTGCCATGACCCTGCCCCATGCCAAATGCCATGTGTGTTCCCCTGCTGACCAATCTCCTTCTCTTCTGTACCCACTATTAAAATAGATGGAGGAAAATTAAGCTCATTTGCTACCACCTGTAATTAGCAGGGGTTACATCTCTGAGATGGTGAATGGCTTTAGGACTGTTGCCTTTGTTTAGCAGTGTGCATCAGTGCAAATGATATGGAGGAAAATTCCATAAAGTAGAAACTACAGACACTCTTTAACTGCTTCTGTAAATTAATATAACAAAGCGAGCCAAGAAAAAAGTTCCCAAATGTGACTTCTTTTTAATCTGATGTCTTTGACAAAAATAAATTTGGCCATTATTATTATATGAACATTTCCTTGCATCTCCTGCAAATATATAAGGTGAAAATAGATACTTGTTCTTGAGAAAATATCTATTGTGTGTCATAAATCCCTTCATTCTTATTTCCTTGAAGCTTAGGAGTTTGCACAGAAATACATTAAGGAAATTGTCTACTTCTTTCATTTATTTTATTGATCTAATTACTGGCCTTATGTTATATGCAATACATTCATTCACTTCAAAGGTTTCCTGACTTAGATGTGCTTGTACCCAGCTCTGTGAGTCTTCCAAAACCAGATGAAGCCAGCACTTTGTGTGAGTATATCTAATCTTAAAAAGGATTTCTTCAGGATCTATTATTTCCTCTCTATTCAGTATCAAAATATGTTTAGCACAATTTCATCATACTGAGTATCATCAGACAAAAAAAAAAAAAGCTACATATGATGGCAATAGACATAAATATTTACAACTAGTAAAAACTCTGGCTAATTTTAGGTACCCACACCCACCACACTCACAGGGGAATGAAGCCAGCCTCTTTCAGCTCTCTTAAGGAAACAAATCTATTTGGACTCTTGGTAATGCCTTCTCATTACTTCTAATGGCTCTATTTCTATTCTTACCTAGCAGTTGGAACATGTAAAAAAGGGCTGCCCATATAGGTAAGTTAAATTCAGTGGTCCTCAGACAGCCCAAATGAATTTCTTCAGGTCAAATGTAATTTCGAGGAACAGGATTTGGAGTCCTCTGCTGAGGAGGTCCTGATGAGGACACACTGTTTTATCTTCTGGCTGATGGATGAATCTATCTGATAGCAGTGGCTTGGTTTGTTATTATGAGAGATAATAGAAATTCAGCTATATGGAAGGAACCTGAAAACGTGACCCTACCATAAGAGAGCTCAGAGGCTGGAATATAGGTTGTATTTAAAGATCAGAATACAAGCATACAATGTGATTTCCCTGTCTGTGATGATATCCTTCTAAATAATTCAGAATATTTCAGAGGTCCTCTCCCATACATTTCCTGTGTAATCTGTATGCAGCATCAACAGAATGTGGCTACAGACATCTTCATCCACAGCCACTGCACATCACAGTTGAAGTCCTTGACCTGGTAACGCAAACATTGGGTATCTGTCCCTCAAAGGTGCAGAATACTGTCCCATTTGAGGGAAGATGTGCTTTGAAAACTTTTGAAAGCACTTTGGCTAACTTGTTTCTTCTGGAAATGAAACTTTATGTGGTCTTATTAGTTACAGCATGAATTTACTAGACAGTAATGTGATAACAAAAGTCATCAAAGGAGACAAGAAAAATTGCCAACCTCTTCCTGCAACCATTGCATCTCTTCATATTGAGGAAGTGTAAAACCACACCTGAGCTTGTACTGTTTGAGGCATTTTCCTTGGAATGTTTTTCTTTGTTATGCAGACTTTTCATTTAGAGGAAGCGGGAGGAAATCTGCCTTTAAAAAATAATGGCTACAATACAATTACTGTAAAATGAATAATAAAAGTAACTAACTAGTACTGGCCAGGGGGATGATAATTCAACTTTGCGACAACTTCTGAGGTTTTACAATTTGTTTTCATTTTACAATGGAATGAAAACAAGACCTTCACATATTATGTATTCAATTTAGATCTTTCTTGCTGCATTGTCAGGAATAACCAGGGTGCCCTGGACCTCAAGAATTTGTCCTTCCAAGTATTTAAAAAATGCTTCAACACTGATGAATCAGCATATTCTTCTGGTGGGATAGTTCATTGTAAATGCTTTGGCCCGAACTTTGCTAACCCTAGAAGTTCAAAATGATGTCTTATGCCCTAAAACATATTACTTACAAATAACTTCTTTTGTTTTTTATGCATTATTTCCAGACTATCTTCTCTAAACCTTTTCCCTTCATCCTCTATGGATGTACATCCATTTTCCACACTTATCCAGTTCTTTTCTCCTATTTTCTTCAGCTTTTCTTGTTTCTCATGCAGCTTCAGCACTTTTGACCTTCCGTAGCTTATGCACAAGAAGCAGTGCTAAGATAATGTTTCACGGTATGCTGTAGCAGAGGTTGGCTAGGAAAGAGGTGGCTGCTGGATGGACTCTACAACAGATAGTGGTCACTGCACGGCAGTCCCACAACCATCCTGCAAATCCCTGTCTGTCTGCTGTTTGGTTTTAATTCTTCTCAGATGGCATTTTCCATCAGGCAGAGCTGACATCCGTGAGAAGGCAGAAACATCTGCTCCCATGCCCTGGCCGGCTGCCGCCCTCACCAGCTCAGCAGCACTTTAGGAAACCAGAAGAGCCACACGGTAATAATTATCACTAAGTGCTTGTGGGGCAGCTGCTATGCATGCAATGCCTGTGGTTTGGGTTTGGACCCAGCTGGCTCATAGATGGCTCTGCAGGACCTACACCTAGTGCTGGCCAGCCCCATGCTCTGTGCTGCACACTTTGGAAAATGAAATTCTCTTTCTTTTTTCTAATGCTTCAGGTGGGAAGACCCTATTCTTCGAGGAGAAAACAAGCAGCGTGGAAAATAGAGAGGAAATGCATCAATGCATTTTGAAAGATGGAAACAACAGCAGAAAGGAGAGCAAGAGGTGGAGTGACTTAACATCGTGCAAAGTACGAGGATGCTTCTGTAGATGTCTTTGTACGAATTGTTTCATGTCATATCATGAATGTTATCACCCAGGGACAAGATTCCCTTGTGTTCTCAGGAATTTCCACCCTACTGGGTGTAGTCTCAAAACACTATTTTCCTTGCAAAATTGTCTCACTCATTTTTCAGTCTTTTCTATTCATACATTTAAATAGGAAGCAGGGGGAAAGAAACTCAGTTGGGAGCAACATGTGGAGACAACACAAGTTATTCCTGTTTCACCATTTTCTTGGCATTGATTTCCTCTGTCAAACAATACTTCAAATTTGGGACCTCTGTGTTCGTACTCCCCGTTGCTTCTTACTTCCTTGGAAGCATCAGGAAGGACTTATGGTATTGCTACAGCAGCTCTTACAGGAAAAGAAATGAATTGAGAAACACACTTCAAATAATGGAAGAATGAATTATTTCACCATTTTAGCCATTTCCCAGGAGGGAGAGTAGAGGGAAGAAAATGCATTTAACACTCTAAAATATTAAAATAACAGGAACCACATCAACTTCACCCCTCTGGACTTCAACCAAACTGACTGATTTAGGTAAATTCCCAGTAGATCCAAGTGGCAAACTCCATCAGAGAATATTTCTAAGCATGGCAAGGGAATTTCTCTATACTAATGATATTATGAACTGAATCAGCTAATTTGGAGTTCTTTGGACTTAGGCCTGGTTTCTGGCAGAGTAGCAGAATATTTTTGAAATATGAACTCCCCCTTCAGTATAGAGACCGATCCTGTTTTCGTGGACAGTATTCATGGAAAATCACTTTTCTGAAGCTGTATTTGAAATGTATTTTTTAATGAGAGATATTATTCCCTTGAACTTCTGGAATAGGCTTTAAATATTCACAGCAGTAACTAACAGGCAATGAAACAAAGGGGACTGTACTTGATTTCTGAGATTTACTGGTTACATATACAGAACAAAGCAAAACAGCACACTTTCTAAATATTTAAATACAGCATACAAATACCATCCTGATTTTGTTCACGTTCTCACTGAAAATTTTAATGGCAGTTTTGCAGAAAGCAAAATACAGGCTACACTGAAAAGAAATTACAAGCAATTCTATAGCATCCTTTGTGTTTTGACATAGCAGTGAAGGTGTTTGGTAGTTCTAGCTAACTAAAAAGATGCAATTACAAAATACCTGTTTGTGTAGGTGAAAGATCTTGAACCCTCATTGAAGTTGGTGTGCTCAAATGGAGCCATCTGGGAAGTGGGGTCATGCAACCCAACCTGTCAATATCAGCATTACTGTTTGATTTGAGTGGAAAACATGGAGCCAAGTAGGTTGCCCAGGGAGGTGGTAGAGTCTCCATCCCTGAAGTTTTTCAAGAAATGTGTAGATGTCACCTTGACTGTCATGGTTTAGTAGTATGGTTGTGATGGGTTAATGGCTGGACTAGAGAATCGTAGTGGTCTTTCCAACCTTAATGATCCAATGATTCTAAGCCAGAGGGCTTCACTTACTTCTACAAGCCATTTCTTGAGCTGTATAGCAAAAAAATAGTCTCAGGAAGTGTATCTTAATAGAGAGAGTTTGTTCCACAGCTCAATTTCCCCAGTGGAAATGCCTCACCTTTTAAATGAAAAATCAGGTCTTTGTGTTTCTGCTGCTTGTTTCCACTGTGGTTCTGCTTATAAGAAGCATCTCAAGCAACTGGCCCCAAAAGTCAGGAAAGGACCTCAACTCTGTGCCTAATTATTGGAGAAAAGCACCCTGAGGTAAACCAGCCTGTCCTGAAACAGAACTGGGGAGACTGCTCAGAAACAGAAAATGTCTGAGTTGGGAAGGGTTTAGCCTTTGAGGACAGAGCTGCTCAGAACAGCTGGATGGCTGCCCGCTCTGGAACTGGAGCATGGGACAGTTTATAAACTTAAAGCAAATTTTCCAACCTTATGGGATTTTCCTTATGGTCTGTTCTCAGTGGAGAAGCATTATTATTGTAAATAGATGCTCTTTTTGTCCCATCTCCCAGGGGAGAAAAAATAATGTTATGTTTGAAAATGTATGTTTTTCCCACTCAGTACTGAAGCAGTTCCTTTCCATAAAGTCTGCAGAAACTGAGCTTTAGCAGATACTGTTAATATCGTTACTTCAAAGTTCTGTCTAAATGCCTTTGCCAAGGAGTCTTTAATAAAAGACGTGGCCTCTGTCCTCTTAGAATTGCAGGGGTTGGAAACTCATTCTTGTGAGTCATCTCGGGCGTCCTCCTGCAATGTGACAGGGCCTTTCTGTCCAGCCCCTCTGCTTTTAACTCTTTCAGATGCCTAACTGCTGGCTCCTGTCTCATCACAGAGATTGCTGTTTCTATCATAGACTTGTACACTGTCCCAAACCAGGAGCAAGGATGCAGCACTGTGGTGCTCTTCCCCATCCTGCTCCCAAACCACCCCTGTCCTGACTGTGCCTCCTGTGCCACTCTGTGGGAATATTTTTACAGCTGCCTCCCTCTCTCCTTTGGGAGTTTTCTTTTTTTTTCTTTTTTTTCCCTAGTGCTTCTCCTGTCAGTGAATGAGTTTTCCAGGCTTCTCTTCCCTTGAGACTGGTCAGCACTTTAAATATTTATGGAATCATTGCTGTGCCACTAACTGAGGTAGAAAGGTAACCCATATAACAAGGCAATCACATTGCTGAATTTTTGGTGCACTGGACTCACAGTAAGTTTGAGAAATTGCACCAACTGTAACGTGATTCCTCATGGTTCTCATGTCTTCTTTCCTGGGATAAGCAATTTGTGGCTGTAGGGATAGCTGAAGGCACCACTTGGTGCCACATCCGCTGCAGAGTGCAGATGGCCCTGTCTCATATGATGACTCTCTTTGCCCTTGGTGAAATCTGTTTAAGAGGAGGCTATTGCTCGTGGTCACAAACTTACGAGTATGTGTTCTACAGAGCAAGTATTCAGGAAAAGCCATCACTGCATAATGAGATCTGCATCCTTCTCAGCCAAATGTGATAGCAACCACAGAGCTGGACAGTATTATCAGATCCTCCTTCATGCTATGCTCACCTGGCTGTGTCTCTGAGACTGTAGAGATATGATGGATAGTGCTTGGGATTGCAATGAAGTGCAGTGATTCACTCAGTATTGGGAGAGGTTTCCAGTCCACCTGGGTACATGGGAAGGTCACTGGCTGATTAATAGTGCATGAGCATTTTAGCATATGTAGAATTTGCACGTAAAGTTGTATTCAGCCAAGGCTGCTGGTAGCATGGCTTGTCTTGGGCGAAAGGCCTCTGAGTGTGAATAACAAATAACTGTGCACTAAATTCACTTTTTAAAAATTGAATATTTTAACTATTAGAAATTATTTTAAACCCTATTTTTCCAGAACTTATTTTGGGAAAAAGGAGAAGTGAATGGCCCTAAAAAGATACAGTCTGGAGCTCATCCTCATCTCAGTGACAAATTGTGAGGTCACAATTTATAAATCTTTAATTCCTCAGTATCTTATTCAGTAACTGGAAGACCCATATTTTGGGATACAAGAATTCTGATGTCTGTCCAGAGGCTGGTGAGTTATCACTCTAAAAAACAGACTAGAAATATAATAACTTGGATTTTTTCATTGCAAAGATAAATAATAATTTGACGGGAGATGTCATTATTGTTTAATGGCTTTGTCTGAACAGAACAATTGAAGGAAATATGTTTGCTCTTCCTCATCCCTTGCCATTTCCATGATGTCATTGGGCTTGGCCCTAGCAACTGGAAAGTTAGAACAGAGGAAAGGACTACCTGCAGAGCAAAATGTACACAACAATGTATGGTAGCAATGACGAGCATCGCTGGCACTGTCTCAAGGTTTATGAAGAGAAGAGAAAATAAGATGGAAACTAAAGGCATTTTGAGTTGGCTTAATCAGTAAGTAAACCATTTTAACTGTGACTCATTTACTAAAGCACTGCCATGTCCTGCAGAAATGAAGAGGTTTGTACTTGTCTAGGAATTTTGATTGTGTAGACATTCTTACTACGTTTTTGGTGGTTTTTTTCCCCTTCATGTGGAGTATCTGCTGTTGAAAAGCATGTGCTTGGCTGTCCATGGGTGCTTGCTATGGCACCACCTTTATGTGGTTTTGACCCCTGGGGAACATAGTTGACCACATGTACTGAATAAACTATTGCTTTCAACACAGTGGCAGTGATGTTTAGTTCAAGCTGTAGAGATCTCCTTCAAGAGCCAAAGGTCAGTTTCAGTTTTGTTTTCCTCAGCTAATGTCACCTCCTGCAATATTACGCCCATAGGAAGTTTTGGAGAAGAGGCTCACTTTTTCATCACTTCTACTGTTTACCCTTTTTCTGCCTCAGCCACCTCAGAACACATTTTGGTCTCGTCCTGACCACTAAGAGAGGCTCTTTTGTCAGCTCACTTTTATTACTGCTTGCAGAAGTCTTATTTTTCAATTATGGTAGCACTTGGTCCCCTCACATCAGGTTCAACCTCCCATTTTGCTAATCTTATTCAAATTTTCCTCCAATAACTTTCATATGTTGATAAATTCCTGGGATTAATCACACTCCATACATTTTTTTTTTTTTTTTAACATCATTTGACTTTCTCATCTTTCAAATGCATTTCCAGTTGTGGTTGCCCCCTAGAAATGCATTCATTCTACACCTGGACCATCAGGACACACTCAAAGGGTCTAACATGCCACCTGGCATTCTTTGTGTTTCCTATTGCCCTTGGAATACCACAGATCTAATATGAAATATTAGCTGAATGGGGAAAAGGAAATTTGAGCTGTATTTCCATTGTAGTTTGCTTATTCTCTATGTCTAGCTTTCAGGCTGTAAACATTGTGCATGATGCAGCATTGTCCCCTGCTGTGCTTAACCCGTGAGGATATGCGTTAACTGCTCATTTAAGGTGAGGAAGTGAGGGGCTGTAGCAGCTTCTGGGCTTTGAGTTCAGTCCTGGGTGATAAACACAATGCACGCTGGTATGGGAGGGATTGGCATACAGCTTTTTGATGTCTCTTTGCAGCATAAGGTTTTTGCAAGCATGAAATCAAAATTATAATAGCAACAGTACAAGGGGAAGTTGAATGACAGCCAGAGGGAAAGGTAAAAAGCAACTCAGGTGCCGCGTGCTCCTTCTGAGCTGTGCTTCAGTAGTGTCTGGGGACAACGGGAACTTTGTCACTGCTGCAGAAACAATCTACCCTCAATAAATAAGACCATGGAGCATGCACACACCTCTGTGTTCTAGGACTTCAAGTGGACTGTGCAAGCACAGGACAATACAGGGATGTGTGTGAGGAAGAGGGATATAAGCATTAGTAAACTAGGCTCTTCACATCCTTCAGAAAGAAAAGGTCTTGAGATGGGTTGGTGTTTGGACTAGATGTTCTTAAAGATCTTTTTCAACCTTAATGATTCTATGATTTCCAACCGCTATGACTCTACGATTCTATTCCTGAGTGTGTATATGGTGCCTGCTTCTTTTGAGTGTGGGATGATTCAGGTAAAAGGCTCCTCTTTGGTATACAAAGACTATCTAGACTTCCTAGCTGTGAAAAAAACTGATGATTATTGAACCTCCTCTAGCTTGTGTGGTACAGGATTTAAACCTTCTGTGGAAAGGTTAAGAATTAGTGGTTCTGTAAAACTTATCTTTCCAAAAAGGCAGCCACAAAAATCTTTGAATTGCACTGGTGGCTTTCTGTTGAGTTGAACCTTGAACGTGTTATTGAGACCTTTGGTTTATTCTGGATAACAGAGAAGATTGGCAGAAAAATCCTTTCAGCTGCTGTGAGGCAAAATGAACAAATCTGTTCTGTGGCTGTGAGTCAAGAGACCTAAATCTTAAAAGAGTCAGCGCTTTCCTGTCTCAAGGTTAATGTTCAAATCTGTTTGATCAAAACTGGATGAACATTAAAAGGAAAAAAAAACCCTGCAAATATCCCTGGAAATAAACATCACAGCTCTCCCTTAGTGCTATTTATAGCTCCTTCAGTTTAATGACCCCAAGCAACACATGAAACATCTAATGTGCTACCAAAACTGTTTATAGGAGACAACCATCTCAAGAACATGGTAGTGTGAAGACTCCCACAGCAGCACTGTGCAGAAATTGCAAAGCTCCTGGGATAGCCTCTTCCTGTCTTAATTATGCTGTCTAATAAAGTTTTGACAGAGGAAAATAGAAGTAGTATGATATTTAGGTCATTACTGACACATCATGCCAAACAAACTGGTTGAAATCAGTAATCACTTAAAAATGACAGGCATGTCAAGTGTGGACAGATGAGCTGCTGTTCCTGCAGCTGGAGGAGTTTCATAGAGACATAGAACAATTAAGCTGGAAAAGAATGCTGGGATGGTCTAGTCCAACACAACCCTTCCCACCATGCCCACTGACCATGTCCCTCAGTGCCACATCTCCGTGGTTCTTGAGCACCTCCAGGGATGGTGACTCCACCACCACTCTGAGAAGCCTTTGACAGTTTCTCATCACTCCTTCTGGGAATAAGTTTGTCCTAATATCTGACCTGGGGTATTCAGTCTCTGTGATATCTGTCCAGTCTCAGTGGGTGGTTCCTCTCCCATGGAGGTGAAGCTGCTCAGTGAGCACTCCAGCCCACTTCACTGCTCAATCAACCACATTGGCTTGAATCATCACTAAAGAGCAAAGCATCTGTCTCCTAATGCTAATTAATAATTGTTTTCTTCTATATTGCTTTCAATTTACAGAGCTTCTGTCATGGTTGAACTATTCTGTATGTTATTCATTAGCTGATCATATGTCACTGCTAATTTTTTTCAAATGGATTCACTATTTATAAACGTTCTCCAGTTTGTGCAGACACATGAGGAGAAGGAGGGAATTCTTTATGCCGTACACATTGTCTTCAGTCTAGGTGTTTGCAGTTCTCCCTTGGACAGGCTGACTTCTCTCTTGTTCACCAAGGATACACCATCAGTTACTAAAGCTATTTGCATGGCATCCGTTTGTGTACAGTCCCTAAACCAAATGGTTTGAGACTCACCACCTCTTCTCCTTAGACAACCATCTAATGAGTCCATTCACCTCTGGCTGTGCAGTGGGTTGAGTTAGTCATACGAATAGGTACTGCTCCCTAGTTGATGGAGAGTTTTCATGTAGGAAAAAAATAAATGAACTTTTGAGTACAAATTTTGGGGTGAATAAATTTCATGCTAAAAATTACTGGCTGTTGTAGAGTTCAGAAATGTCAAACAAGATGTTCAGCGGCTGCCTGGCTTAAAAAAACAAGACACATCTCCCTTCTGCCTTTCACAGAGCAGTTGCATTACTTTTGGTACTATTAAACCAGCTTGGCTAGTAGTTGAATTGAATTTTTGTTGGTACAACCTCAGCCCTAATTAAACATTTATAACTTCTCATAGTTAGACATGATACAAGTCACCCTGGCTGAGACCTCTGCTTACAGAAAATCAACATTTGATGTTGGAAAGACAGAATGGGAGCGCCATATTAAAGCATGTCCTCACTATCCAAACAAACCCTATTGTTACAGATGCGGCCAGTAATATCCTGTTTGTCACTGGAGTTACACTTTGGTTCTCCTGCCCTAGAAATAACCACTCTGTGGCAAAACCCTTTCAGTATGGGACTTGGGTTTTCACCAAAGGTAAGGAAACCTCAGTGTTCTGGCATCCAGCTAAGCGTCTTCAGAATGTCTTGAGAAGTAAACAGACTCGTAAACTTCCCTATGTTCAACAGAAGAGCCCAGTTTTGTATCCAAATAACAATTTTGCCTTCCCCATCTGTCTGGCATTACCTCAGACTCTGCTCTGTATCCATCTCATCCCAGCCCTGGCAACAGGCCTCGAACAAATTCATTTTTGTGGACTGTGGGTGAAATCTGTGGCCGAATATTATTAGTGTGGAGCTAATAACTGGTTTGGACTTCTGTACAGAGCAGCTGCACAGCAAAACACCAGTAGGCTCTCATCCCAGGCATTGCCACGTTCAAGCTGCGTGCATCCTCAAGGACACCCTGTTGTTACACTTATCTGCACCATAAAAACCTACCCCAGGCCTACAGCTATAAGGATGCAGTGGAACTTGGCAAATAGATGCAGTTGGTGCTGCGGGGCCATGAACAGTTAACGCCTTGGCCACGACCACGGTGCATCTGGAGCTTTTCCCAATTCTGGGCTGGATAGCATCGCTGTCTCCCCCCAGCTGCCAGAGTTGCGGCAGTGAGAAACTGCTCTGAGATCACAATTGGAATCCTCAATTTTTAATGCTTCCCCCCACCGCTATTTTTTTCCATTAGAGAGGAGGAAATTGGTAAATGCCCTGGGACTCACAACCAAGCTGTGACCTGGAGAGGCAAATGGAAGTACTTGCTGCTGGTAATAATGGGCTGGGTGAAAAAACTTCATTGGGAAGCACAGCTCTGCAGAAACCTGCAGCAGTTAATTGCTTTTGAGCAGATTCAGCACAGGCCATCTGAAACAAACAGTTTCAGCTGTAACAAATGGTTTCAGCTCATTTGGGGAAGGTAAAATGGTTGGGTTTTGACAGGGGCAGATGAAGTAGTGTGGTAGGGTAAATTTAAAGGGGATTTTCCAGCATCTCGGTTATTCTCCAGGATAAGTCAATGTCCAAAACCTTTCTGTGCACCATGGTGATATCACTACATCTCTATCACCTCTGTGCCACCTCTCCTTGTGACCATGGGCTGCCAAGTGCTTTGCAGTGGAAAGGTCCATAGCCACAAAGGATTCCAACAACTGTGAGCTCAGGTAATTTTGCCCCAGGTGAGTACTTCCCCCTCTTAATGCCTACAGTATATTAAAGTATTTTAATAGGTTATATTATATCTTATGCCACGTAATGTCTTTTATACGATCATTAGGGTTGAAATGATAGCTAAGATCATCTAGTCCAACCATCAACCTATGTCTGCAACTGCATGTTATATTAGTGGATTTGTGTCTGCGTGTGTTTTTAAAGGTACTCTGCTCTGGAAGTCATTTCCACTGCTCAGTTTTTTGTACTGCTTTGTAGCGAAATGGGATTTCTCAAAAAATGTAAAATTTCATTTTTGTTCACTGCGCATTTTGGCCACTGGCTCTGGGCAGGGTTTGTCTCAGAATAGTATGTTAATAAGCAGAGCTATTTTTTCTCTTATCTTTCTGAACTTTGCTATCAAGAACTTTTTTTAGCTTATGTTTATGTGCTATCACAGTTTAGAAGGCAAATAAGAGCAGCTGGAGATCTTTTAGAGGTCTAAATCTTCAAAGCCTGAAACTGTAACCGAACTCTACCCTAAGGAAAGTGACACTCTCCATCTGCCTGTCTTTCTCTCAGCAACTTCTGAACTCACGGGTAATTTCTACCATTTCTGACAGAGAGGAGACAAAATCAAGTTATGTTCTGGCAAGTTACTGGTTAGGGACATGCCTGGTGCCCCCACTCAGGCTGGCATCATTACCTGGATATGCACACGACCCCCACACTCATACCAAAGCCACCCAACCTACAGGTCAATGGCTGGGGCCAACTGCCACATGGGTTTCTCCACATGCAGAGGAATTTACAGGTCTTGGCAGACTGCAGAGGGTGCTGGGAGTGATGTACTACTGTATGGCAAAGCCTTAAGGGACAAGCAGATCTCTGTGTATCATGGGAAAGTATGTGGGTGATATCGTATTGTGGGACATAAATCTGCGCAATCTTGCCTACGGCTTTTCCCTTGTGGAAGTGCTCATTTTCACCATGAAGTGTACTTCCCTATACCACCTCTGGGTAAAGACTTTTTCTAGAATGGTTCTTTGATCTGTCTGGAGGGAATAATAGAGAAAGGAGGACATTGCTTGCATTAGAAGTGACACTGCCCACTCTTGTGGAGAAAAAGATCTTCAGATTTCCACGCATCAGATTCTGCAATTACACAGCTTTCTTGTTTGGCCAGTTCATCTGCTAAACCTGACACAGAGCCAGAATGAAAACAGAGATTTTCCCATTACAGAACACCAAATCTATGATAAGCCACGCCATGAAAATTCAGTTTTTAAGGAGGTGGAGAGAGAATGAAGGAAACTCCAGCTGCTGCTGCACAAAAAGCCCTGAGTTTCGCAGCGTTAAAATCTGTTCTTGGAGGGGATCTTAAAAACAACTATAAGCCAAAAGAGCAGGGAGATTAGACGAACAGCAAGATCTAGGATAGGGAAACTTAAGCAGTAGTTTGAGCAACAGTTTAGGCTGTCACACCATCTGGGTGGTAACTTTGGACACAGCTGGGTAAAGTAATTGCTCAGGATAGAGGCCTGTGAATGTGGTACTTCATCTGTGGGTCTGTTTTGCACGGTGATGCAGTGAACGTCATCTATGATCTTTGTTAGATCTGTTTTTTTTTTTTTTCCTAAATGAAAAATTCCTTGTCTATAAAGCATGCAAACCAATCACTCCTCCTGCTTCCTTCACCTCCAAGTTATAGCATAAAATTCTATTTATAGATGGAACAACAAATGTCTCTGAAAGGAGAATTACATTTTGACAGCACTCAGAGATGCACTACTTTTCTTAGAGATTATTCCCTAAATAGGATATAAATGCTATAACTTCTACACCTTTTGCCATGAAGCAATAAGAGTATATGTAGTACTTTGGGGGATGGTTTAGTGGTTGATATTGGTGGTAGGTGCACGGTTGGACTATAGATAAGTTAGCGGTCTCTTCCAACCTTAATGATTCTATGATTTTAATGTATATGCACATAAATATAATTGTCACCAGTTGCAGCCTTCAAAGTTCAGAACTTCAGGATTTTTGTAAAAACAAACAAACAAAAACAAACAAAACAAACAAAAAAGAAAACAACCAAACAAACCAAGCATCTGAGTATAACCTGACAGAGGCTGAATTCTGTTTGCCCTGGGTTGCTTATTTACTAAAAATCAGAAGCAAGCAAGTTCTCTGTATAAATCCCACATTGCCCCAATTGTATGAACTGCCATCTAAAGCCCTCTGGCCACCATCCAGGTCTGAATCACACTCCTGTACGAGCAGTAACCCATGCATTGCCTTCAAACCTTCCTTTCCCATTCTTGATCCTCCTTCACTTCCCACCTGGCTCTCGATTAAATATGTTTAAAGCCCTCCCTTACCTGCATAGTGGTCAAACACAGTGGGCACGTACTCCTCAGGGAAGGCATCGTTGGCGTAGCTCATCAGCAAACAGGTTTTCCCAACAGCCCCGTCCCCAACCACCACGCATTTTAACATCTTCTTGGTGCTGTTGCTGCTCCCATCAGTGCAGTTGTCACCTTCTGCCTTGCAGCTCATCCTTGCGTCTGCTGCCTCTGCTCCTGCTGCTCCCGGGGCTTCCAAGTGCACATGAAGGAGAAATGAAGTGCGATTGTATGGACTTTTCCTGAGTTTGGAGTAGTTGGGGAAGGGGAGGAGGGGGGGGGGGAAATCTCAAACTCAGGAAATCATACTAATGTTTCCAGGCTGTCACAGCTGCTTCTAACAATTACCAGAGCAGTCCAGAGAATCATTGAGGTGAATAGATTAAATTCACAGAGAGGAGTATCGTGAAAAAGCGATCTGTCCTTTCTTGTCCGTCCGAGTCAGGAAATCCTCATCCTGCCCCACAGTTCTCTGTATTTATTGCAACTTAAAAAATATCAGCAGCCTGCGGCTTGGATTCGTGTCTGCCTTCCTCCCGCCTGGCCGCAGGAATCGGGGATTCCTGTTAAATCCACTCCATTTTCCATCTCATTTCTAACATGGAGGAGAGCCTGGAGGTTTTTAATGGAGTTTTTCCTTTCTTTCTCCAGCTTGCTGTGTGTCAGGAAATCATGGGTTTCCTGCTGAATTCCATATTAGGATCAGTGGGCTTGTGAAGGGCTGCAAACAATGGGAGCTCTGTGTGTATTTGTACTTTGGAGGAACTCTGCCAGGACGTGGAGAAAGAATAACACTAGAGGTCTCTCTGCAGACTGAAGTTTTTAGGCTTCCTGCTCCATCCCGTGCCCGGGTTGCTCTCAGGGCTGCTCTCAGGGCTGCTGGCACTGATTTGGACAGGAAGGATTTCAGAGAGGCTTTGGGATTGTGGGGGGTATGGTGGTGTTGGGAGCCCTGTGCTACCCCAGCGGTGTCCTGGGCATGATCCCCACTGATCCCGTATTTGTATTTTCTTACATGTGGGAGACAGGAGGGGATGTGGAAAGGAAGGCAGGAGGTACTACAAGTAGGGAGAGTTTAATGTGAATTTGCTCTGTGTCTATAGCTCTTTAAAAACAAAACAAAACAAAAACCACAAAACCAACAAAACTTGGTTTGTAATAACTAATCACTGATTTTTCAAGTCTCTGACTTAAACACTCAGAATGTACCCCTTGCATTCCCCCTTATAAGCCCCCCCCCAAAAAAAAAAAAAATAAAAAGGAAAAAGCATTTTTTATCTCTAGTATAATTGTGTAAGCAAAGAGAAAGGAAAAAAAAAAAAAAAAAGAGAGAAATTACGAGTTGTGTGTATATATTTATGTAAAATTCCCATAGCAGTATGTGGAAAAACAGCTTTGAACAGCACGATCCCTGCCCCCTCATCTGTTTTGTTCTGGTCTCTCACGTGCCCCCTAGCTTCTCTTAATTTAAATATATAGCAATCCATACGTGGGCAAGATGGAAGGCCAAACTCCCTGCTATTTCCACAAGAAAGATTTTGCATTTTCCAGTAGAAATGAGCCAGACAGACATCAACATAAACCCCAGCCCAGCAGCTCAGCACATCCTGCTGGCTGCGTTTCCCTTCCACAAGCTTAAAAAGCTTTGAAAGTGGGAAACAACCCCCACTGGGTTTCTAGGCGAAGCTCATCAGCCCTAAAGGCTTCTCCTGCCTTGCTTGTGAAGTGCTCAAAAGCTCACACAGACCATGCACACCTGGAAATGCAAAGACCAACGTAACCTAAATAATGAATCTCCTTAGCCCCACATCTGCGTGCTGCCAGAGCTCTGCAGGGACCCAGCCCTATGATGGAACAGGCCCTTAGCACCTTCCCTAGAGGTGGTCAGTGGATGAAAAAGGTGAATAAGGTTGAACAAGATTTGTTTTTTTACTCAGCCTTCTCTTACCAGGCATATCGGTCATTCAGTAATTTATGCAGTGTGTCCCATGGTCATTATTCTTCTCCCTGCCGTTCTCTGTTGACAACAGGGATCAGAGGAGAGAGCTTTAGACCCAGCATCACACGCACTGTTACAGGTCATCACTGCAAGCTTTCCCTCAGGAGTTCAAGTGGCATCCTTTTAACTTCAAAACTACAGTCAATGGCCAAAGTTTACCCAACAAAACTTGCGAGCTCTGGGCACCCAAAGCTGTTCTCCAAGCAGTTACTCTGGGTGGAGTATCTCCCCCTGGGGGAGAATCAGGAGTTACAGTGTGTCAGTTTTGAAGCTTGTAATTGTAGCTGGGGGAGAATCCAAGTTTGTGGCTATTCAGGTGTCACATGGCCTTTGCTACCAACCCACTGATCTTTTGGGTAAGTTTGCCAGATCCATGAGCACGCACATGCTGTTGCAAGGTAATTGCAAAGCTTGAGGCAGCAAGAAATTCCAATAATTCATGGTTCAGCTCCCAGTTGCCTCCATCAGACAGAAACAGCTATCTCATAGGCATAATTTATTTGCAAGCTTTTCTAGCATCAAATGTATTTCTAGTTAAGGCAAGCCTTAATGCAAGTTAGTCCAGATTTAAGCTTACAACAGAATCCCCATAGCTCATTCCTCTGAGGCAGGGCTGTGTCGCTTTGACCACAAAGTTAGGCAGTCTCAGCAGGACTGTGTTCACTTCCTTTTGTTTTTGCAAGAAATTAACGAAATTTCTTTGCAGATAGAGGTTTGAGAATAAGTCTTACGGGGAGCGGCTGAGTGGGACTGTTCAGTCTGGAGAATAAGAGGCCCAAGGGAGATTTTATTGCTTTCTACAACTCCCTAAAAGGAGGTTGTAGTGAGGTCTTCTTCCAGGTAACTAGTGACAGGACAAAAGGTCATGGCTTTAAGTTGTGTCAGGGGAGGTTCGAGTTGGATATCAGGAAAAAAATTCTTAGAAAGTAGCAAGGAATTGGAACAGACTGCACAGGGCAGGGAAGTGGTAGAGTCACCGTCCCTGGAGGTGTTCAAGAGAAGGGCAGATGTCAAACTGAGTGCAGTGATTTGGTGGTGTGGTAGTGATAGGTTGATGGTTGGACTAGATGATCTTAGTGGTCTTTCCAACCTTAATGATTCTATGATAATGGAAGCGTAGTCACTCATTAGATTCTACCTAATGGCTTTCTTTGAAAAGGCTGACAAGATGAGTTTATTTTGAGGGTGACGAACACTGACATCTTGCTCATATAGCTGTCAAATTCAGAGCTACAATTTCCACCTTAGCTATATAGATAATACGTACAGCTCCAGTGGAAATATGGTAATGCTATAAGAAAAAGAGCTGTATCTGGACTAAAAGCCTGTGTTTTCTTCAACCTCTTTATTTTATCTTCGTCTGGCATCATTCAGATCAGTTGGACCAAAATATTTTAACAGCATGTTTTGTGGCAATAGCATACAATCACCTTGATATATACTTTTCACTCAAGAGGCTGAGGAAACATTAACCCTTCTGCAACTTGGGGTTGTGTCTTTTACTACCAAAGCTGGCACTGACTTTGCTGTATGCATTAATGACCCAATCCTTTTGTCTAGAAGTCTAACAAAGTTTGAGGTTACTTTGCTGTGTTTTACTAAATACTTTCTGATTAAGCTGACCCTTGCATACTTGCACTGAAAGTTTTAGCTGGACTAAAAATGCTTCTGCGTATCAGAGCTGCCTGCAGCAGCATGGAATTCACAGAATTATTGGTTAGCAAAGCTCACATTCGCTGATTTAATCTGGATCCAGGGCTTATTTGCTCTTTCTGTAATCAAGTGAGAAAGTGTCAGATGTTCTCACAAGATCTCAGTTTTTCTCAACTCTCAAATCCAATAAGAGCTTGATGGTTTCAAGCCATGAAGTTTGGAAAGACGTGTCTAAAGTAAAAAAAGTGAACCAAACGAGTTGAAATGGTTGGAAAGCTTGTTGAAACGTGTGGTTCTGAGGTATCAAACCTATTTTTCTTCCCACTCATTTTACAAGCTTCTAGCCAAGACTATAGGCCAGAAGCCTCTAAAGGAGGCCATAATAGAGACAAGCAGACTTTATTAGCACTGTGGATTGAAGCTGTCACCTGAGGCACTTCCTAGCAAAGATTCTCAAGCCAAGAGCTCTGCTCCAGATGAAGTGCTTCTGACTTTTTGTTAATTAACAAATTAGCTGGGAGCAGATCTATTCCCAGGACTGTGTAGTATTTCCAGCTCCCACATGCTTGCATGGAAACCTCAGCTTCATCTTCATCAGCTCAGGTCTGATGGGGCTGCCTGTCCAAGGAGCTGATTCCTCAGGAATCAGCGAGTTCAAGACCAGTGCAAGAAATTTCTGTGAGAAGGTCTGTAGGAGGTGAAAGACTTCCACATTTGTTAAGTAGCTTTGCAGTGAGCAGTGTGTTTCCCAATTAAACCCATTTTGCAGTCTCCACAGGCTTTCAGACAAGGAAAAAACCTTTCCCTCCCAGCTTATTCTCCCTGACCAAATCTGATGCTGGCACATCATTCCACAGTGCCTCCTCTCATCTTTCTTCATGTGTTCTTGTGAGCTTAAAGCTTGTAAGTCATAAGACTTTTCTCAGTTAACTAGTTTGGTCATTGAATCTGACCACCTGGATCTGATGGGGACCTAATCTTCTATTGGGCCTTATCTTCCTTCATCATCACTTCTTGGCCTAAACTGCACAGATCTGTCCCTGCATACTCACTCGTAGGAGGTAGCTCCATGGAGTGAAAGATTTTCATGGTGACAGGGAGCTTTTCCTACTGTTAGAAACAGCCTTGTCCATCCTTCCTCCTTCCTCCTACCAGCACTGATGTGGGAATGAAGTTTCTGGCACTGCTGCTGAACTGTAGATTGACTTCAGGTAAATCGTCTCACATTATTTCTTATCTTTCGTCTAATCTGCTGGGATTTTCAGAGTCTTTTGGGGCAAGGATTGTGATATGTCTGGGCATATTGAGCTTCATTATCACCGTGTAGTTCAAAGCCAGGTCAGATTCAGCACTTTTTCCAAACTGTGGGATGGTAAGATCCAGACTCTTGCAATTAAATCAAATCAAGAATTTAAGCATGCCTACAGACATGATATTCTCAGGGGAGCCTTCTTAACCTCCAGTACTACATACAGGAGTCTTGGGTTGTTCTTTTTCGTTCTTTGATTGTGTGTGCCTCCACCATGCACTAAGAAAAATTGAAATGAAGCCATTGTTTTTATGTATTCACTCCATCCTCTCTTCCCTTTTCTTGTTGGCAGCTCCATCCATCAGCCTCCCACAATGGTGAAACTGTTGTTGAGACCTCCAGTGAATTTGCTCTGTCAAAGAGCAGAAGCCATGAAAACAGGAGGAAAAAATAACAGTTTAACATTGACCACAGCAGGGATGGAAGTACTGTGCATGAAGCATTTTTTGAGGCAGCTTGCTGAAGGGTAGGTGCTGAGGTGTGACTTTGAGGCTTGTTGAGTGAGAGCAGGCCTTCAAAACCACTGCACGCCATCAGTCATGCTGCCACCACCACTCTGCATGGTGGTCCACACCAGAAGCAGGGGGTCTCCTGTTTTGTGCTGCTGGATATAATTAGTGTCATTAGGTTTCCCTTTAGAAAGAGGAGCTTATAAAACAAATTACTTTTGGGAAATGAGGTCAAGCAAAGGATGATTCATATCCGGCTCATCAGAGTACCCTAATCTCTGAACTTGCTTCCTAAAGACAGCTGCTATATAATAAGACTTGCACATGATTTATTTGTGTGTGTGTGAATGGGGAGGTTTATTTTCAGTTAGGAAAGATGATGATTAGATTGTTAATGCATGGTTCTTTCTGCATCACTGACTGTAGATAGTGCTATGTTACCCATCCATGCAGGTGGTAGTACTTCTCCAGTGTTGGTATTTCCAGCTTTTCTGTTTAAAGGTATTTGCATTTGAATTTTGGGGATCACTTTTCCTCAGAGGTGTGAAAGTTGCCTCTGGAAACGTGTGCATCTGGAGGTCTGCTACATCTCTCTGTTTGCATCAGAGTTCTCTCATTTCCTTCCAGAAAATTGTTGGCTGTCACCTCTACCTTCTCTGCTGTCTGGTTTCTGTCTTGCATGGCTGACTTGTATAACGTTTTTATTTCTCCTCTCCACTAAGCTCTGCTTCTCTCTCATAAAAACATGCAGTTTTTACTTTCTTGGAAAGAAGGAGCGGGCTGCTTTCAGGCAGGGAACATGCCTTGGTGCTTCATGTGATCTTTCTGCATCGACCCAAAAATGAGCAGAAGGCCGGCACTGCATCCACATTTCAGGAAGAGGTAGGTGGGATAAAGACTACAGCAGAAAGCAAATGAGTATTAAGATTGGTTGGGCGGTTTCTCTGCCTGTCTCCTTGCTGAGCCTATCCTGAGCAGAGTGTTGAGGCAAAGGCGCTGCTAAGTGACCTACTGGCACACTATTTCAAGGCCCATCACTTGGACTTGCACAAGTGTCCGGTGGCTACTGACAGACAAGTTTTGCAGCCACAGCAATTGTAGGAGTTATATTTGGCAGCTCGCTGCTTGGAGTAGCGTATACCCCAGTGCTTTCCACATGGTCTATTTGTTGTGTTCAGCATATCTTTTGCTGCAGGTTATACAGCTGTCAGTGTACCTGTGCTGTTGTATGTGTGAAAAACAAAAACAAAATCACCCACCTGGTCCTCTTCTTCACTGCTGCCTGTTTTTTTCTCTCAGTCACAAGCACTGTTTATTCCATGACGGCCATGTGAAATTTAGGTATAGTTTATCACTGGGGAACCATGGCTGTTGAATGCTGCAACTGTGCCCTGCACTGTGCTGCAGTAAGGTTGGATATTAAGAAAAACCTCTCTGATAGGGTGGTCAGGCATTGGCACAGGTTGCCCTGGGTGGTGGTGTAGTCGGTTTCCCTGGAGATGTTAAAGAACAGTGTAGATGTGGCACTGAGGGACATGGTTTAGTGAGCAATACTGACGGTAGGTGGATGCTTGTACCAGATGATCTTGGAGGTCTTTTCCAATCTTAACTATTTTACATGCAATTCCATTAAGCTCCTAATGATCAGGGTTTCTTTTCCCTGCTCCCTGTTCTCCCTCTGTGCCACAAAATGAGCCTGACTGCACACTTGCTACCATCTCAGAACTATCTTTGTTTGCTTCCACTGTCTGCCATGAAGTGGCAAGAATCCCCATGGATTGTTTTCCTCGGTTCAGCAGCATTTGGGGCCATGCTGTCTACATGAAAATATATTTTTAAATTGAGATCTAGTAGGCAAAGATGACTCATGAGAATTTTCAGTTTGGTCTGAGTTTATTGGAGTCAAAGGTCCTGTAATGCATCAGAGATGTTATGGAGTCTCCGTCCTTGGAAATATTCAGAAGACATTTTGATGCAATCATGAACAACTGACTGTAGGTAACCCTGCTCAGGGAGGATCCAACCACTATTATTCTGTAATTCTGTGATCTGATAGACCATGCAGCTTGATCTCCTCTTTGTAAAATGAAGTACCCTGCACATACGTTTTGTGCGCCTCTTTCCACACACATCTCCAAGGCATGGGACTACAACATATTTCGAATCCCATACAGAATCCTCTAGTCACACAAGAAATCACAATTTTTGCATCATTATGATCTTGTGTGCATCATAATTACTTTCATAACAACAACAACAAAATAAAACCACCAACAATTATGCTGTAGAATACAGTCTTGCAAAGTAATATGGTTGTCAGTTCCCAGTGAACTACTACTGACTGAGCTTGACTCCAGCTTAACTTCTTTGCTCTCTTCATGACCTTTGGGGTAACAGTCAGACACAGGTTGCTGTTTGTTACAGAACTGAATGATGTCTCACAATCATGCTCTTTTTGGTCGTCTGTCTGATTTGTGCACTGCAGGCATCAGACCTGGCCCATTGACTTGTGTTGGGATGAACTCTGCATTTTCAGCTGTTCTGAGAAGCATGTAACTTGGAAGCAACTTTTGGGGAGAGGGCTGCAATTAGTGCTGTGTGGAGCTGAAGAGACTTCTTGAAACACGTGGGTTTATTTGACATGTGAAGCAAAACATGAGAGGAAAACAGCAAGCAGCTGATAAGCATCTGTAATTTAAACATCAGACTTGTTTGATGGACTGTGCTCCCCAATGACAGGAGCAGAACAACCCCAATCTACGTGCTTTAATTAATGCAGATAATTAATACCTCCGATCTGGAGGCACAGCCTGCTCTCAGTAGGCATCCCCCAGTAGGACTTTTTCTTGGAAGTGCTTTCCCCAAGCCTGCTGTGTTCATCTGAGCCCTGTGACCATATGTTGCATTGGCTTTTGTCAGGAGACCCAGCTGTGCAGCCTTTCATTTGTCACAGACTGCCTTTAGCTTCTTCAGCTTCGGCATCTAAGCAGCCTGAGAGCTTGCTGCTGCAGGAACAACTCAGTAAACAGAACTATTTATCCCCAGTGGTGTTGTAGCGCTGGCACTGCTGCCTAGAGAGGAGGATGGTACCCCATCCCTAGAGGCTCCAAAAGCCACGGATGGGGCCCTGGGCAACCTGAGCTGGTGGTGGGCACCTAGCCTGAGGCAAGGGTTGGGGCTGGATGGGCTTTAAGGTCCTCTCCAACCTAAGCCATTCTACGTCTTTCCCTCTGTCACAGGTGAAAGCTCACTCCATTGGTGGAAAATGAACATCAGGAGTAAGATGCTTCATTTCAGCTTGTTACCATTGCATTAATTGAAATGCTCCGCTGATTTTTTTTTTTAATCTTTCTTCCAGAACACCTTCAGAGCTTCATCTGCCTTCAAAATGGCCATTGAGAACAATTTTCATATGTCGGCTTTGGATAAATTATAAGCCCCACTTAAACCCATTCAGTAATCATCTGAATAATGGTGCAGTGATTACACATTTCTCTTTATTCTCCAGTGTCAGTGTTGAGCATTGTTAATCTTTTTAACAGCCTGAAATTACAGATAGCCACCAGAAAATTTTATTTAGACCATCTTGGGGCATATTTTGATTATTGGGGAAAAAAAAAAAGAAAAAGAAAGAACTGTATTGGAGCTGCCAAACTCTTCAGAAGATCTGTTCCCATGAGATTTCCCAACTTTTTGGTCCAGGTTCAGTTCTCAGTTCTTTTCCATATTTTCACTTAGGTAACAAGCACTGGAAAACAGTCCACTGGGAAATCGTGTGAGAGTGGGTTCATGTGACAGATCTTTCTGCAACTTGTCATGCCACGAATAGCAGAGCAACAGCCTTTCAGCACTCAACCATGTCACTGCCTGCATCACTTTGATGGAACTGGGGTGAGTGCCTGCTTGTGGAAACAAGGAAAATGTTAACCAGCTTTTGTTTTCTCAGGAAAAAGGTTGGTTCGTGCTTCATTGAGAGTTTGCATAGCGTCTTAATTTAATTGTCCTTCTGTTACTGCAGTTCCTGCTCTTGTTGCTCTGTGCTGACATGTCGGGTTTGCATTCATCACTGCTTAGAAGACCATGTTGTAAACATTCTCCCTTTACATTAAGCACTGGGCAAAGGTATATGAAAATTCAGCAGCTTCAAAACTGTGACATTTGCAGTCTAAAGATGTGAATGAGAGGAGGGGAGGCAGAAAAGAAAGGATCGTCCTGCTCACAAGTTATGTAGTGGTGTTGCTCAAAATAGCACCCCTTGACTCATGAATCAATGGTTATCTTCAGAGTTAAATGCCTTTGAGTCACGTGCTGTTCCTACAGCAGGTTGTTCCAAATACAAGACCAGGCAAGCTTCTTGTTTATGGTATTTTCCTGGTGTGGAATCTGTCACCCTGTAGTCACTGGGGATGACTGAGTGTAAGGTGATAAAACTGCCCTCTGCGTGCAACTCAGATGCAGTGCACACAACCTATGGGCTCAGGCTGGGACTCCCCATAGTTTCTTCCCAGCAGAAAATACTTGTGGTGTCATTTGGAAAAGTACATTTCTTCTCCTTTACCCAGCTGTATCAAAGACTACAGACATAGGCAATGAAAATCTCAGGACACCTGCACCATGCCTTAGCTCAGCTCTTCCATCTTCCTGTTGCTGCCTGTCCATGTTTAAACTATGCCCACTGACCAGGTTTGAATCTGGATTGGATGCTTGCTGCATCACATAGTTTGTGCTGGATGCAGCCATTCTGTCCCGAGAGGCAAAGTGCAAATCTGGACACTTGCCTGTGTCTCAGTTTCTTTGGCTGGCAATTCCCTTGGCTCCTGGCTGACAGAAGTCAGTTTGTGAGCCAACAAGTTGTCAAGTTTGAGAAGAGGAGATTCAATATGGGCTTGAAACCCAAGAGGGTATGACAGTATAGCTATGGGATGTCTCACCACTTCCCTCTGCCTTCCAGAGCATAGAAATCATGGTTATGCCTGAGCAGAACAGATCTGATCCTGCAACTAACTTCACATCACCGTGAAATTTCCTCTCATCATACACAGCTGCTCACAGCTGTCCCAGTGTGGTTATATACAGCTTCATTTTTATTGCTTTGGGGAAAACTTGGGCTTTCAGACCCTAACAAGCTATTTGCTTCCCCTTCTCTGTCTCTTCCCACAGCTGACCTCCATGTCCAGCCGTGCAGGCATTTTCTGGTTGCAGTGCCCCTAAGCAATGCCAGCAGGTGCTGTTTCAGCCTCTCCTGCTGCTCTGTAATTAACAGCCCCAAATATGGAGCAGTGGCTGGCCCTGTGACATTTTTTGCTAAGGCTTTTATTAATTTGACACTAGTTTTCATAGCAACTCACCAGGGAGCTGTAACAAACATTCAGCTGTACCTGGCATCAGCTGGTGGGTTTACCTGCTCCAAAGGCTGTACTAAGTGCCCGAGGCGAGCTGAGGTCTGAATCCTGGGAAACAGTGCAACAGCTGGATGAAAAAGCTGGAGGATTGAAGTGGAAATGTCACAAATGAAAAGGATTTGTGTCATCTTGGGCTCTGTTGTCATGGTCTATCAAAACTCCTACAAGCACTGGGAAGACTTGTCGCATCTTTGTGCTCAGTTGTACTGAGTTATAGAATTGTTTGAAACGGAAGGGACTTTTAAAAATCATCTAGTCCAAATGCCCTGGAATGAACATGGGCATCAACAACTGGACCAGATTTTTTTCCTCTTCTGAAGTAAGCTTTTCTATTGTCTCAGTGAAAAACTGTTCTGAGTGCCCTTGTGATCCCTTCATCCTGCTGTGCCCATTTCTGGCGTGAACAGACCCTCACATGGAAATGTGTGAACTCCTCAAGTTGTTTTTGCTTGGTCAGACACTATGATAATGGCTATAGCATACAAGTTTAGTATTACTTTTTATGTGTAGGCTTAGACTCTTGGTTTCATATGATATTATGCCTTGTCTTGCAATTTGGTGGCAGTGCTCATCTCATGTAAAATCTGTCTTGATGAGGAAAATCCTTCTTTTAAAAAAATTGAAATACTTTATTGGAATACTTTTGCATTTACAGGTTGTATTTTTACCCCAAACTGCAGCCAGGATCTACTCCAATTAAAGTACTCAATCCTCCCCAGATTGAATTCTCGCCCCTAGATAATTTGCAGCCTCTTCCATGTTTTCTCGCTTTGTCGTCCCATTTGCAAGCACTTCCCTCATCTGTTTCCATTTCTGTGTGGAACACAAAGGCCTATCTATTGTTTCCTTGTTTAATTGTTAGCCACCTTTGTCTGACGTAACTGGAAACTATCACAGACGTCACTTTGTTTCCTGCCAGAAATCGGGCTGCCTCCTACCTGTCTTTGCTGCCTTGCCTGCAGATACCAAAAGAAATGCCATTTAAATCCTTTATAGCTGCTGGTTTTCTGGAAATTATTAGTCCAGAGGGGACATTTAGGAACCCCAGAGTTCCTTTCCAGACAGTTCCTGACAGGTCTCCTTGGACAGTCAATGGCACGTGTTGCTATGCTGTTATTCAACATGAAGGCATCCTTCAGTGCTACCTGGAGGTTCAGAGTTGTACAGTATGAGGCTCTGTCCGCCAGTCGATATTGTATAGCAGTCACCAATTTATTCCACACCTTCCTTGGATGGCTCATTTCTCCCACCCACCTTCTCAAGTTGGCTTTATGATACTGATTGCAGTATCCATGTTTTCAGCTTTTCTTGGTTAGTACGTTGGTTCTTTGCCTGGAGATTTCTCTCCCAAGCGAAAATAAATTCCTTTAGCCTCAGGACTTTGCTCAGTGGTGTTCATCCTCTGGTTCTTGAATATAACCCTAATGGTTTATGAAAAAAAGAAAAAAAAAAACAGTGATAGAATGAGAGGTAATGGCCTTAAGATGCACCAGGGAAGGTTCAGATTCGATATTAGGAAAAATTTCTTTTCAGAAAGAGGGGTGGAATTACTGTGCCTGGGAGTGTTCAAGAACTGTGGAGAAGTGGTGCTGTGTGACGTGGTCAAAAAGGTCACAGGGATGAGCTGATGGTTGGACTAAATGGCCGTAGCGGTCTTTCCAACCTTAATGATTCTTTGATTGATTCTACTGCTTTCAATGGACATTTAGGTAACATACCATGCCAGTGGTCATCATGTGTTTGAAAAGCACTGAAACTCTTAATACTGCCTTTAGAGATTTAATATCCTGTATCTTTATTATTCCTTACTATATTAAAGTTAATTAGCTTTCAAGAGAATTTAATCAGTCCTATGTAAGGTCTCACTAAAGCTACCATGAAACAGCATGCAGTTGAGAACGAAGTTTCTTTCTTTCTCATTCCCTGTTTCCTATGGGAACAACACATTCGATGATGTGTGCCTGACAGCAGCAAGTGTGGCTGTAGTTTGCAGTTGTCTCCAGCTTATGCACCAACACCTACTGCTAATTCTAGTGAGCAGGTGAACAGCTTATGCTCCTATTCATCCTCCTCTTCTGCAGACTAAACAATCCCAGTTCCCTCAGCTGCCCCACATAAGACTTGTGCTGCAAGACCCAACACCAGCTATGTTTCTGGTTGCTTCCATATGCAGCGAGGTGTAATTTGAGAGGCTGCATCTTGCACTCATTTGCAAAGTGAAAGTAATTTTTAGGTGCAGGTAAGTCTGTGATATAGGAAAGGGCAAAGAACATCCAGACACTATGAAGCTGCAGTGTGCTAAGCATGCACCAATGCTGCTTCACAGCTGCAGGCAGAGAGGGGTAGTCAGCCGTGCAAACAACAGCTGCATTGCCAAGGAACAAAATTACAGAGCCAGATGTTCTTCTTGGAAGTACATTGCACTGAACTTGGCAGATGAAGGCTGTAGCTGCCAAATACATCTCTTATTTGGTCATAGGTAATGATCCCTCTATCAGGGAATGCAGAGATTAAAAAAAGAAGAAAAAAAAAAAGAAAAGACCACACAGAAAATCCTCGTCAAAACATTACACTTGAAACATTAACTTTCCCTTGATCAAAATGATCCAGGAGCTCCATGGCAACCTTCTCATCTCATTTGAAGGATGATGCTGTTTACTACTAGGCATGAAGTGAGAAATTTGCAGTGACAGATGCCAAGCACTTTCAAGGTATTTGTTACTGAAAGGTGACAAAGAGGCTGAGATGGTTTTTATAGCCACCACAGTTGTTTGTGGGTGCTGCTGTAATTCTCAGCTAAGGCTGCAAGTGAAAAGGAGAACTTCTGGTTCTGTCTCTATAGTAAACACCAGGAGTTGGGGTTTTTGAGGATACGTCTATGCTGAAGTCACGTCTGTGTGGTAGAGCCAGACCTGACCTAGCTGAAGAACAGCAGCTCTGAGTGATAGACTTGCTGTGGCTTTATGTAACATCCAGCAGATTACTGCTCATGTATCTGCCTTCACTGGAAAATTTAAAGCCTGATGTTGCCCATATAGCTTTCTAGAACTAATGTTGCTGGGGCTTGTGGTAAACTGTAACGGTAACATGGAGAAATAAAGGTCCAAATTCTTGCCAGCTAGTGGGATATGATTCATACAGAATCATAGAATTGTTAGACTAGGAAGGGACTCTTAAAGGCCATCTGGTCCAATTCCCCTGCAATGCACAGGGACACCCACAGCTCCATCAGGTGCTCAGAGCCCGATCCAGCCTGACCTTGGGTGTCTGCAGGGGCATCTACCACGTCTCTGGGCAGCCCGTGCCAGTGCCTCACCACTCACACTGAAAAAAATTCTTCCTTATACCCCATTTAAATCTCCCTACTTTCTGTTTGAAACCATTTTCCCTTGTCCTATCAAAACAGACCCTAATAATGAGTCAAACCCCTTCCCTGCAGCTCCCCTATAGGTATTGAAAGGCTGTTATTTGGTTTTCCTAGATCCTTCTCTTTTCCATTTGATCCTTCTCTCCTGGAAATCTCAAGCTGCAAACCCAAATCTTTTTTAGAAGTAACAAAGAAAATAACAAGAGCACAAACCCCTCTGACAAATAAATCTGTCAGTAAGGAACTTACCCCTAAAACTCCTTTGGCCTTACATTCCCCATGTGTGATATTAAACTCACTCCTGCACCATCAACGAATCTAAATTTCGATATCTCAGGGATTGCAACAGAGCTTGGAAAATCCACAGATCTCAATTGGAACGTGCAGCTCACTGTGAAGGACCTCTTTGTCTCTGTCACACCCAGTTTACAGTTTACCCCCTCTGCATCGATCTGCAGCTGGGAGAGGAAAAATTCTGCTTAAAATGCAGACAATAAGCGTCTCTCCCCACCTAGTGGTCATTGGGAGATTTTTAATAGAGCGATGGCCTAAAGCAGGGGATTACCAGCACCGCGAGGGATGCATCTTGCTTTTTTTCCATGCCAGTACTGGGAAGAGATTATTGATCTTTCTTTTTGTGTCCAGCCGAGGTGAAAGCAGACAGGAGGAATTCTGCAGGATCCCTTTGTTCCTAATAGACTCATTAAAACATGAAGAGTGTAAGAAGCTGAACTGATGCTAGGAAAAGGTTGTAAGAAATGATGGAGTGGTGGATGCTCATGTTTCTTTACTCCATAATCTACCTGTTGTGGGTTTTGCAGTGAGTGAGAACAAATTTTATATGTGACTGGGACAGAAATGTCTTCATTGCTCGAATGTTTGGCCTAGTGGTGGGTAATCCCTTCTGCAAAGTGTGCAGAGTTGAGCGAGGGGAGAAGAATATAGAATTAAAATGCATATGTCTGTTAAGCAAAGCTGGTACTTTTCTAAATTTGAATAAAGAAGCAAAGAGATTAAACTGTGAAAGCAAATAGAATTGTGCGAATTATTCCCATGCTGGTGCTCAAAGGTGTTATTGGTAACATTGACAGAGCATGCATGGAGCAAAACAGCTTCACATGAGACATTCCACTACTTTCTGCTTGACTATTCGTACAGAGCTCACATGGCTGTTACATGGGGAATGGTCTTTCTGGGGAAGGCAGTGCTTCATTTACTACTCCCTTTCTAGAGCAAGGCCACACCTCGAGGGCTGTGTTCAGTTTTGAGCCCCTCGCTACGAGAAAGGCATTGAGTTCTCTGGAGCATTTCCAGAGAAGGGCAACAAAGCTGGTGCGGGTCTGGAGCACAATGGAAATTGTTCAAGAACCATGGAGACGTGGCAGTGAGGGATGTGGTCAGTGGGCATAGTGTGGGTGGACTGGAGGTTGGATGGGGTGACCTTAGAAGTCTTTTCCAGCCTCAATGATTCTATGAGACATATGAACAGAGCAGCCAAGTGTGCCTGCAGCCCCAGCAGTGCCTCAGGCTGCTGATGTATGGCTCAGCCTCAGGGCTAGAGCTCATCATATTTTCCATTTAAGCATTATTATTTTATAACTTTGAAATGAGGATAATGATATTTATCTTTCCGTGAACAATGCTTGGAAAATCAAAGACAAAATATAACAATTAAAGACTTTACTTGCATCAGAAGTGCTGGCTGAGGCTTGTTATCTGCAGGAATTCTGGGTTGCCCTTCCCTCTTTTAGACTGTATCCTGCTGTTCTGCATGCAGACAGGAACAGGGGACCCATGTCATGCTGTTGCTGTTTCCTCCAGTAAAGGAATTTAATGGAAGACTCTTATAGGAAATCCCTGTAGCTTATGGCTGTTGTTTTGTTTTGTTTGTTTTTTCCCCTTGAAAAAGAGCCTTGAATGCCAGTAGAGGTTGGTGGCCTTGCCTGTGGTAGGGGGTTGGAGCTTCATGATCCTTGAGGTCCCTTCCAACCCAAGCCATTCTATGATTCTATGATTCTGTGACTGACATGAGCCAAAAGGAGCTACTTTGCCTGGGGCAGGATGGCTCAGGAGAGACCAGCAATTCAGGCAGAGATTTGTGCAGGGGGCTCCGCTATCCTGCATCCTGTGATATCAGCCAGCTCCACCAAACACCCCAGGTACCTGCTCCCTTGCAGATGAGCATTCCCCTCCTGTACACCCAATTCAGGGAATAAGGGATGACTCATGTCCTCTGAGATTCCTTATATTTCTCCAGATAAACCAACCAAGCAAGAAGCTGATCTAATAAATCCTTTTAACTGTGATTTGAACTGCTCTGGGTTTCATGCTGGAGAGCAGATGGATGTTTCCCCTGGTAGAAAATGGGTTCCCATTGCTGTGAGTTTTTCCAGTGGACATCTGCATCTATCTGACAGAGTTTATTTTTAATAAAACCCTAAACTAGAAAGGGAATCTGAAATCCATGTGGCACCATGGGAAGGGATCAAATTGTCGTATAGATCAAGTGAAGAGGAGAAAGAAGTATGGCATTGGATCCCTATGTGCAACTGTCTTTCTGCAAGGTACAGTGGGATGATTCTGGTGTGCAAGAAGTACAAGTTAAATTTCTTCCTTCTTTCAAACCTAATTATTATTTTCTCTACTCTATAGAGACCTTTCATACTCTATCTTACACTGGTACAATAAAACAGATGGAGAGAGATGTGTATCTTCCCTCCATCTCCTTATCAATACCTTTGCACAATAAATAACAGGAAAACAGAGCTTGCTTGTCAGTGTTACAAGCTGTCCTTGCTTTCTCTAAACATACAGTCATACACATTTCAGTTTGTTTTGTTGCTGACTTCTTTGAAATAAATAATATGGGATGGAGCTGTGAACACACTGTCTCACTTAAGATCTTAAATCACAGATTCATAGAATGGCTTAGGTTGGTGAAGACCTTCAAGATCATCTAGTTCCAACCACCCTGCCATGGGCAGGGTTGCCAACCACCAGATCAAGCTGCCTAGGGTCTCATGGAACACAGCCTTGGGCATCTCCTGGGATGGGGCATTCACAACCTCTCTGGGCAGCCTGTTTCAGCACTTCAACTTAAATAAAGATTGCTAAATAAGGTCTTAGTAACAGTCAAATACAGCCTTCTTGCTTGAGGTCATCTGCTTGCTCCTGGAGTTTTACTTTCTGTCATTAACATGAGTAATGAAAACAGCGAGCACAACTGAGCACAATGGACCCTTCAGGATCCCCAAAGCAATATGCTGTCAGTTTGAGGACAAACTGTTGGGATGTGCTTTTGTGGGCAGGTACCCATGGAAACCAGGTTTTCCCAGCTTGTCATGACTGAAGTCAAGATATCCAACTTTCACCCCTCCTCCTTTCTCAGTGATATTGCCAGAGAGGGAAATGAGTTTGGATTTGGTACAGTGTGTTCCTGATGCATGCATTCTGGCTTTTTTAAATCTCTTTACTTTCCTCCTGCTGTTTATAAAAGGATTGTTTAATAATTTGCTCTAGTCTCTTTCCAGACTGACAGTTTCATGGTTCCCCAGATTCCCATTTTCCACCTTAAAACTGGTGAGGTACTCTCTTTACCCTTCTGGTATGCAGCACAAGTGATTTCACATCAAGAAGAAGCAAGATGATATTGCATTATGACAACAATTCTGAGTCACTGTGAGGACTAGTCAAGAAAACAACAGTGATGGGAAATGAGTGTATCAAATAGTTTGGGAGTTTTGCTTCTGGTATTTTGGTGTTCTGATATTTAGTGCACAACTCTTCACCTCCACCTTTCCACCTCCTGAATTTAACTTTTCCAGCATGCTTGTGATTGCCTGAATATATGTATAGCATGCAGCTTCACTCGTATCCACATTAATCCCCCATGTTCAAAACTAGGAAAGAAGCCCATAGTTTAATAAAAGATGAATCATCTTCCCAAGCAGCTTATTGGGAAGAAATTTCTATTTTTTCTCTGACATTGTGTTATTGACTTGTTTTGGGGGATTAGATACTGGGACACACCACTTCTATAAACTTGTTCAATAAGCTATATAAGGCACAAATATTCCGCAAGAAAACTTTACTTTTCTTGCTGCTGATAACTATATCCTTCTTTTATTATTCAGAGCATGAGACAACAAAGCAAGAGGAAAGTCCAGAAGATACCTGGATCATTAATAATTGTATTAATAATACGGTAAATAATTATATAATGATATAATTTTCCCTTTTTCTGTCTTTGTGTTTATGGGACACAATGTTTAAATCCAAGTGCATCGATGTTTACAGTGATTGTTTCTCACAGCTTAGAACATTAAAGTTCCAGGAGATTCCGTCATTCCCAAGGTAGTTAATTTCAGATCTAACATCCTGATATGTAACATCGCATGAAATATTCACTTATTTAAAGCTGAGCAGGCATTGTGATGGCATTGCAGTTGTTGTTGACTTGCAGAAGAATGTTCCTCTTCTTACAGTGCAGAACTGTGGCTCACACCTCACCCCTTGCTATGACATCTAGGTCCTTTGCATGGGCACACAGGACAAATCAGCATGTTGAAGAAACAAAGGGATGACTGAGTTGCTGGAAGTGAGAACACAGATAATTGCTTGTGGGATCAACACTTTAATTAGACATTGTCTCCTCCTTTCCTTCATACCATGAGATTTTGGTCACTTTCTCTGGCAGTAATTATCTTCCTTTACACACTGCATTTCTGCAGTGCTTTTCCATGGTACAGAACAAAGCATTTAAAAACAAGAATTATTTTTTTCTCCTCAGTACTAAAGCAGCTTCATCATATTCCCAAGTCAAATATCTCAATTATTTAAAGCAGATCTCTTCTTCATTCCTTCAGTATTCGTCAGCAGAAATTAAGTTGGCAGAGAAATGTCATGACCACATAGTCCACTTTCCATACTTCCATTCCTGAGAGCTCTCAGTCAAGTGTCTGCTATTGAAGAGTGACTGCAGCCAAGAGTAGAAAGTGCTGGAGATGCTAAAAGAGAGTTTGGTGGGACAGAAGGCAGCTTGGTGGCTGAGGTGGCGGAGTAAGATTTGACTGTTGGGTCACTAGAAAGACAAGTCCTCCAGAATAACCAATCTGCATTCTGGTGTGTCAAACATAAATGGATGGAGAGCAGCTGGAAAATGAAAACACACATTGGATCGTGGAGAGGTGACTGAAGGGTAAGCCCAGAAAAAAATTCATCCACTGCTTTGTGTATACATTAAAGCTGCAATCTAGTCCTTGGCCACAGATGGAAATCCATCAGGCTGCTCCCAGGGCTCCTTTCTGGGGCTAAAAATGCTCGAGTTTGTTTGGTATCTCTTGAAGACTAAGAGGCAGTGCCAGATAGGATAAAAATTAAAATAGGATACATTCAAATGCTGACAGGGTGGTGTCTGAGACAGAATGTGTTTGAAAAGAGGAAATGAGAAATACATCTAAAAAAAATAATGGATATTGGCTGAAGGCTCGAGGGAGAAGACTATACTGACCCAGTACTGGGTGCTGTTTCACTGGCTTCTTTTGTGTTCACTGAGATGAATTTGGCTCAAATTACATAAATGACAAAAACAGATCAGAAGATAATTATCTATGTTATTTGGACAGAGCCTTGCTTCTGGTGGTTGCTGTTCACAGCTAAGGCTCAGGAGTGGTTTCATAATACAACTACCAAAAACTAATAATGCAGGTGAATTGTTTTGCACCTAGTGTAGAGGAATATTGTAAAACCTCCAACAATGTAGCTGGTAAATCTATGTTCATTTTAAAGTTCCAGATGGTTTTAACATTAACTCTGATTTTCTGAACAAAACTGCCTCTAATACAACATCCTCAGAATATCTGAGTTTGAATTGTGGTTGTCTTGTCACTTGTGATGACCAGGGCAGGCAGTTTCCTCTACTGTTTCAAAAAGTGTGATATACAGTTTTGTACTGTGCACCAGGAGCAGCAAAATGAGAGCCCAAATTAAGTCAGGAAGAGGCAGTTCTGGGTGCTGTGTGAGGATGGGGCCCAGATTTTGTTAACTGCTTTGCACTGAAGGAAACTATCACCTTAGCAGTGAAACTGCTGCTTTGCATGTTATTTGGCAAGTCTCCCGACAGTTCCTACAAATGATCTAAACTCTTGACACTGTCTGTCCAATGATGATTATGCACTGGGATTTTCTGCTCTCAGCCCCTGTTTTCTACGTGCACTTAATATTCTTGGCTGATGCCTGGGGTCTTGGTAGGATTGAAGGTGAACTTCCTTTCAGCTTACTGAGTTTGGAAAGATAGTTCCCATGGGAAGGGGGGCGGTGAGCAGAAAAGATGAGACTGCAGAGCAGCATGCCCTCGTTTTCCTTCTTCAAGGCTTTCTCGGGTGTTCAGTGGGATAGGGAAAGCTCTCATGTAGCCTTTCAAGAACACAGTATTTTTCATCATTCAAGCACTTCTCCAGCACCTAGAACTGTGGGTGTGTATTACACACATCCAGGAAAGGGCTTTCAACAGATTTCCTGATTCTCTTGTTCATGGACCCCAAACACCTTTCCCACAAAAGAAGGGTTTAGTGGAAACTTTCCTTTGCAAAATTCCTGAATGCCTTTTTGCCTTTCTGACATCAGTTTACAGGAAAGCACTGCATGACCCTTTGTAATATTAGGAAGTATTGTTGACTAATGTGAATGACTTGTGTGTTACTTTAATTTCTAACCTCAGCTGAAAAATGGCACAAATGATTGCATGGAGACCAATAAATTGCTATGGTGGGGCAGAACAGCATGAAGAGGTCACAGAGCTTTCAAAACCTGAGTTGTAATGGCCAAAAATTAAAACCTCAGGTGGAAAAACAAGAGAAATTTCCCAACGGTGCATTGTACCACGCTTTTGAAAAATGCATGTGAGGAGAGTCAAAATCCCATTAAGGAGGGTTGTTGGAACATGGCTGAAGGAACTTCACCGAGCAGCACCCACCCTGTACATAGGTCCATGGCTCATGGCCATTGCAAGTGCGTCTGATTTTGTTCTTGAACAGTGACTGCTGAACATCTTAATCATTACTTAATTCAGGTTATTGTTAAATGATTTCTTCTCTGTCTTTTCTCTGGGGAAATGTTAAATTATTCTTTTTTTTTTTTCCTCTCTTTTTTTTTTTTTGCCCATCTGTCTATGGTGTTTTTCTCTTCCTGGAAGAAATCCAAGTTCTGTAATTAAGGCACTGGGAACAGTAAGAGGTTTGATCAGTGGATAAAACATAATTATACTAGATCTGTGACTCTCACTGCAGTAAATATTTTAACACCTTGGGCCAAATCCTCCATTAACACAAGCGGAGTTACTGGAGATCAAACTGTCTTACGCCAACTGGGAATTTGTGTAAAACTGCACAGACTACTCCAGGCTGGTGTGTGGGAAAACATTGAAAAAAAAACACCTAGTAATTACCTTAGTAAGATGATGAAGTTGCAACACTCTGAGCCCAAGAGACTGTTCAGATGAAATATGCTGGATTTTTTTTTTTTCCTTTTTGTTTGGCTTGGTCACTCTTTTTGCTTGGTTGGTTTGTTTTGGTTGGGCTTTTTTGTTTTTTTTGTTTTATATCCTGTGACATACATTCGTGATTTTTTTCCTCTTGACTCTTTTTGAAGATCCTGAAATAGAATTATGTCTGTATGGGTAATGTTTTCAAAACGAATCTCTTTTACTGCAGTGTTGATTACACTCTGTTTTCAAGTTCAGTTGTGTGTATTAATTAGGCAGTCGCTGTAACTTATACCTTAATTGTTGGGCTCAGGTGAGGTTATGTGGTAGAAAGATTTTAGACACAAAAATTGCAGAGATTGTTTTGGAGAATAGCACCAAATTAACTGAATAATTCCTAAATCCCACTGTTTCTGGATATCTTATTAATCTCCTGATGAAGTCCAGATCCTATTTCCATGCCATAGCTAGTAGCAATCACAATTTCTGGCCTTCCTGACCCATGGAAATGCTGTAATGGGATATCAGCCATGTCCCCAAAGGTTCTCTCTGGCTGTGGGCCTTGGGGCAGCTTGACTTTAAGTATTACTCATTGGACCTTCAGAGTACCAGATGTTGTCCTGCTGACTCCTCACCCCTCTGGGTGGGTTGAAGGCTATAGAGGGACATGCAGGAAAACTGTGTGCCACAGACATAGGAAAAGAAGAAATTCTGGGTGGAACAACCCCAGGCAAGGCTATGGAAAATTACCAAGAAGACTACAGATGAACCATAACACAGCCTGAGAATCTGTCCCTCCCCAGGCTGTGTTGACAGTCCTTTTAGCTAGTCAAGGCTTACTTCCTAAAGAATTTCAAGATGTTACTGCTGAACAAATAAAGAACTTGGTGAGAAGATGAACCTCGTGGCTGTGCCAGACCTCTCCCTGCTGCTGTTGCCAGGTAAAGGGGCCTAAATGTTTCCACAACTGGAATCTTTGCTGCAATAAGCGAGCTGAACGATCAGCTTTCTGCCTTGTCACAGGTGGATTATGAGGCTCAGGATCATGCTTAAAGGTAGTGATAAGATCTTATAGAAAAATGAGTGTTTAACTCATTGGGGAAGCAACTTCTTCCCATCGTACATCAAGCAGTTATTTGCAGAAATGACCTGCTGGATATTTTTGGGAGTGTTCACCGTTTGACTGCATTTCCCTCTGCGGGAATTGTTCAGAAACCAGAAGGAAACGAAAGCAAGACCAAAAAAAAAAAAAAAAGGAAAAGAGAGTGAATTTAAGGCCATGGAAGTCCTATGGCAATTCCTTCTTGCTGAAATTTCTTCTCAGAAAGAGCGGTGAGGCATTTGAAGAGGCTGGTCAGGGTGGTAGTGGAGTGAACATCCCTGGGGATGTTCAAGAAATGTGGAGATGTGGCACTGAGGGACATGATTAGAGGGCACAGTGGGGATGGGCTGGGGTTGGACTGGGTGATCTCAGTGGTCTTTTGCAACCTTAATCATTCTATGAAATTCTGTGCAAGGGTTCTGCAGCAAAGGCAGCAGTAGTCAGTTGGCAACAGTTTTTAGCACAAAAGAAGACACAAATCTCTCAACGTGTCTTGCTTCAAAAGCAGGACAAACAACCTAGTGTCTTCCAAGCAATGACACTGTGACTAACACTAGAGAGCTTAAAGAAAGCATTGAATATAAATATAACGTGATTACAATATGAAGAAAAATAACCTCATTAAAACAGTATGTTCCCAGCTGGATTCTTTATGAAACAGAGGTTCCAGAGAGCTAAGGGTAAAAAATGAGTCTATAATCCTTCATGTATTAAGATATAATGACTATAATACAATGAATATAATATAATACAATGTGTAAGGTCTTACTTTTGTTCTCCAAAAACAGGGCCCAGGGCTCAGCTGGCCCTTCTGGTGGCTTCTATCCTGATGTGGAGTTGACGTGAAAACCCTTACCTCAGTTTATGTCTGCACTGTGTGTATGATCAAAGAGTGAACCACAGTGATCTTTAAAGTCATCAGAAGGCCGCATATGTATAAAAGAATTATTTCATTATGATTCAGAAATACCAAAAGCATCGTTTCCCTTCAAGGTTTGCCAGTTCATTTGAAAGAAGACGTAAAGGATGCATCTGTGCAAAGGTTTGGAGTTACGCAGCTGCAAAAGAGGGAAACCAGTTGTTTATCCTTTCAGAAGTCTTGCATTTGTGAAAGTAAACAGTGTGCAGATTGAAAAAGATGTATCCCATACCATACAATGGTGGCTGTCTACATCTAGCTGTGAACACTCACACAGGAAAGCAGTTGGCTCTGGCCATGAGCTTTTGGAAGCAATAATGAGAAAAGCTCACGACAGCACCAACATATCTATAAAAAACAGTGATGTTCCTATAGAAATATGCTGTAGTTAACTGTAGTTAAGTACTGGCCAAGAGAAAATACTCCCCATACAGATTTCTTGATCTTGTTTTCAGGCAGGGGAAAACAATTAGGAGATATTCTCAGGCATGAATTATCTTTCTTTGGACCAAGTGGCTTTTGTGAGCTAGGAAATCTATTGCCCAACTATGGCAAGAGGTTTTTTTTTTAAAAAATATTATTTTTTTGCCATTAAGCTCAGGGACTACTATAGGAACTTGCCAGTAGGGGGTATAGAAAAGAGAACTGTTATTTCCATGTTATTATTTGTATATATATCAGTTAGCTCTTTGCCTGTTGTTTGGCATGGATCATTTTTGTTTTGTTTTAGTGGAAGCCACGAGCATCAAGAATGAGATTTATTATACTTTTTCTTTTCTTTGAATCAGTCTTGAAGTTGGCTGCTACCCTTAGATTAGCTATTGCAAACAAATAAAGATTTCAGTTTAGATATTTCACTCAGGGTTCAAAAGCCAACTAAACAAAGTCATGGAAAAAGAACCTGAGAAAGGGCATTAAGTGCAAAGAAATCTCTTCTTTAGGAAGCTTCTGAAGTGCAAAGTATCACAGCTTTGGAGGGTAACCTGGATGATATCTACACATATCTGCTCTGTTTTTGTATATATGTTCTTGGCCAGCTATGGAAACAGAACACTTGGTCTTTCATCTGAGGTAGTATCTCTTTTTTTGTCCTCATATTCCTTTTTCATGTCATAAAAATACAATGGCTTTGCTGCTTCTGACACCTTTTCTCAGCAGCCAAAACTCTGATGTGTGGAGCTGCACTGGATCCACATTATAACAGAAAATAAGACTGCCTCTCTAGCTTGTTGATATGGTAATCTGTATGCCAAAGGTTGTGTGTGAAATGCAAAAAGAACAGGATGCATTGAAATGAAAAGAGGCAGAGCAATTGGGAGCTTCGCTCTTGTCTCCTGCTGTCTCCCAATTGGAAACTGTCACATTTTATAAGTAACCATTACAAATTGAAAGGACATCTCATAAAACCTTATGAAAATCCCTTTAAAAGACTAATACCAACTCACACATTTCATTAAATAGCAAACAGAGCAGTGAACCTTTTGTGGTTGGTTCTAGTCCTATGACCTCATAGGACTTTGCTTTGCCTTTCTCCTGATGAAATCCCTTGCAAGAGATGAAGAAGTTGCTTTAATATACCTGGTTTAATCAAGCTGCCCAGACAGTCAATTTTCACCTCTGTTAGGGAATGAGAAACATCCCTGCTTCCCTTCTCATTGGCCTCAAGTGCCATTCTGTCACGCATGGCCCTCAGACCAGGTAAGTGGGAAGAAGTACATGGTGGCAGCAGTCCAGTGGAAAGTCTAATGAAATGGTTCAGGCCACTGCAGCACTTACACGGGGTCATCTGGTGACATGTCTTGGAAAGCATCATACAGTAAGAGCCAGTGTTGTGCCCCTGGCCAAACAGGCACGGTCTGTGCTACTTCAGCTTGGTACAACCAAGTCACTTTGGTACAGTGATAGCAACACAAACAGCACCTCCACATGTAATGCCACACAGGGTTTCATCTGGCTAAAGAAGTACACAGCTATGGGTTAGGAAATAAAAGATCTCTCCAGAGAGGGCTAAATAATCCTGTTTCACTGCACATATAGGCTCCCATCCTTATGTGATGCTATTTGAATTAGACCTATTTATGTCAGTGGTACTTGAGTGGTGTATTTGTATGTTGGCTTGTGTTAGTTTAACTGGAAAACATCCAGCTAATCCAAGAAGTCTAGATAAAGCTATAGACTGTTGTTTCTCTTCTAAATTTCACAGCAATTTCAAGTCAAAAACCAGAGAGCAAATGAAAAAAATATCAAAAATTTTGAAAAAAACCTCCACTTAATCAAAAAACCTTTAAAAAATGAAACCTAAGCAGATGTGTTGCTGTAATAAGTGACTTGAGTTAGTTACAACAGGTTTGAAGAATTCCAGAAGGACATGAATAATGCTCCTCTTATTTTACACCAGCATTCTCCAAACAAATTCACTGTTTTTTCTATTTTTATTAAGATCTTCTATGTTCCATTATAGACATCTTCTCAGCAGAAAGCAGTACTCAGCCTCTGCTTTCAACAGCCTAGGCAGAATTGTGTGCTATTGTTGATATGCTGCTCCTGGAAAGCAGTCAGAAACAGGAGATGTCTTGCAGGAATGTGGAAGACATCATATGTCTTGGAGCTTGGTGGGTTTCTGGCCAAATTTACGTGGTCCAGGTTCATATTACTTTCATAAAATCTGCCCTTTGAGAGACTCCTAGCTAAGAAACCCGGAGGAGATTGAAAATCAATGTAGAGCAGCATCACCCTTGCCTGTAGGTTCTGAGTTATGTGCGGCCCCCTAGATGAAGGAAAAAGCTTTAGGTATCCCTATGAACCTAGTGAAAATGTCTCCTCAATGCAAAGCAGCTGTGAAAAGCTAACAACAGCAAGTAAGCTGCGTTAACAAGGGAATAGGGAGTAATACAGAAAATCTGGGGGCCTGACAAGTTAATCAGAGCTGGGCAGCAGCTTAAGAAACCTTAGAAGGATACAAAACAGAGCAGCTCAAATAATTTCTACCAAGAGCTGCTGGATAGATTTAAGTGCTGGAGGCAGTTGGGTCATTTCATTTCCAAGAGGACAGCAGGTTGTATGTGAATGCTGGCAAGGAAATGGAAGTTGATTTGCAATGCTACAGCTTGGGGTGATGTTTTGCTCCTGTGCATAAAGGTCAGCTCCTGTATTGCTTAGGGAGATTTATGGGGCTGAAAAAGGTTTTAGGAAAATGAAGAGAAGAGGTTATTTTCTTAATGAGGAGATAAGAGAAACAAGGCAAAATGGGAAACTTTTGGAGCCGTGTGAGAGGCATGTGGGGACCTTTGTGGAGATAGGCCAGTGGAAAAGTAGATGTTTGGAGGCTGAGGAACACATTTTGTAGCTGGTCCTCCTTCAGTAGGAAATAACTGCATTAGACCTTGCCTCTTGGCTTCTGGGAAAGGTGAACGTGGGAGTGCTGCATTGGATGCCTGGCAGAGCCTGTCAGTAGCACATAAGCATTTTCAGGATTACAGAAGGCAAAGAGAGCATAGAAGACAAGTGAATGAGCATGGATGTCATAGAGAACCAGATTGTGAAGCAGTGTGACAATCTCCCTCAGAGCTGGGAGCCCATCATAGCTAGGATGGGATAATGTCATTATCTGATGCTAAGTGCAAAGGAAATGATAGAGGTTATTACTATGAGCAAGGCTTCAAAACATAAAGATGACTTGGAGCTGCAGGGTATGAGAGAGGAAAAGAGTTAGTAGGTGGAAGGTGGAGCAAAGGCAAAGAGAGGAGAAGCTGCGAGGAATCAGAATTGCAGCTATTAATTTTTACATTGAGTCTCTGTTTAGAGTTCAGAGGGTGGGATTAGTAAAATTGCCACGTTTAAAGCAGAGGTCACTCTACTTTTCAGCTGTAGGTGAAATTCAGCCTTACAAGTGAAGGCAGTGGAGCAACTGGAGGTGCACCTGCTTATACTGTGGTTAAAGATGCTCTAATCTCTTTTAAGGCTGCTCCTCACTGATGTGTCTCTTCACTGATCTGATTATGCCAGCTCATGAATCACTGTGATGTATTTACATTTCTAAACCATATTATGCTTTGCCTGAAATCTTTGTGTAATTGGCAATCAGTATTACTCATTGCATACAACATGAAAGAGAGAAACGCTTCCTCCTTTGGAAAAGCAACATATCCTCAGGTGAGTGTACAATTTCATTTAATTATAGAGCAATTTTCAGAATTCATTGAGTTTCTCTATCCACTTGCAAGAGATTTAAAAAAAAAAACAAAAAACTGAGACAAAAAGAAGTCAGAGAACAGCTATGTAAAAACAAACAAAGACATTAAAAAACAGTCTGTAAATAGAATTATCTGTTTACAGGAATATAAAAATATAAATGACCTGCCGATTCTCCAGTATTGGTTTGCATTCATTGTGCTATTTCTTAAAAGGCAGTCTATGATGCCTCATTACCTGTAAGGAATTGGCAGGAGAATCATAGAACCACCAAGGTTGGAGAAGACCTCTAAGATCATCCAGTCCAACCGTCTACCCACCACCAATATTTCCCACTAAGCCATGTCCCTCATTACAACATCTAACTGTTTTTTGAACGCCTCCAGGGTCTGCGACTCCACCACCTCTCTGGGAAGCACATTCCAGTTTCTGACCACTTTTTTGGAGTATATCCTAATGTCCAATCTGTTGCAACTTGTGGCCATTTCCTCCAGTCCTATCTAATTTAGTTGAGAAGACATCCTTTCATAAAAATTGTTATTACACTTTGAAGCTGTTGCTAGGGCAGGTAAAGTATTTCATTGTTGATTCAAACCATATCTCAGAGTAAAGACTTCCCTCACCTAAATGCTAACTGGCTGTTCTGGCTGCGTGTCCAGAGTTGACTGAGCAAGAAACCAGTTTCCTCCCTGTATGTGTTACTGACTTCAAAGTTGTAGTGCTTTTATTATACTACATGTTAATAAAGATGCAAATGTTATTTACATATCTATCAGTCAGTGTGAAGCTTCCAGTAATAAGATGAGAGAGAGAGAAGTGATATCAGAAAAGGAAAATAAGCTGGTCTTAGGAGAAAAACCTTTGTTTGGAGTGTGTGTGTTACCTCTAATGTTGAAGGGCTCAGCTGACTCCGGAGCTTTTTTTTCATTTTCCAAACATGGATTTCTTCAACAAGAGAAAGGGATGTGATAGCTCACATGAGAAGACTAAGGCATGGGGGAATTGTTCATATTACGTGAGTTAGGGTGAAATTTTAGCTCTTGACAAATGAAGAGGATTGAGATCAAGGACTGAGCTCAGGGTCACAGGTGATCCTAAATTCTCCACCAGAAGAGGCAGGTGGAGGATTTATGCCTAAGAAGAAAGGAATTTAAGTGATGAACAGCTTAGATTGGAAGGGAGGTGAAGGACAGCAAAAGGAGAGTGGAGGCAAACTTATCCTGTGGCAGCCAGGATGGTTCAAGGGCTCAGGGAGGCAGCAGAGCTTGGTGGTGTCAACCAACACCTACATTTGCTGTCTTTTGCACAGTCTACAGGACTGGGTTCTGGAGTCAGCTGGAAGGCAGCTGAAATCTTGGGAACAAATGTTAGGAACTGATGTAACCAGGACAAGAGAATGGTTTATGAGGCAGACAGTTTTGCTTTCCTGCATACATCGTTCTGATCATATAGTTTTTGATCTTGTTGGCAAAAATCTGCCAGCAGGAGGCAACAATATCTGTAAGGAAAGCTTTTTTTTTTTTTTTTTTTTTTTTTTTTTTTAAAGATGTCTCTGTTAAATCTGCATGTTCTTGGAGACTAAGAGACTAAGGAAAAACAACGTGAGTAAGAGCGTGTGGGTGGGAAAACTGAAGATCTTTGTTGGGTCCTGCAATGGAGAATACATATTTTGATGTGAAACAGTGATGACAGGGAGGATTTAGAGGGCTTCAAAGCAAAAGCATCCAGGCAGTCACTCCTGCAGGACTTAAAAACCGTGCGTTGAGACAAAGACATTTGTACAGCAGAGCTTGAAATTCAGATTGAGCAGAGAGCGATCCAAGCTAACTTTGAGCATTCTGCATTTCACTTAATGTCATTAAGGACTACATAAGTTTTTCTACTGTTGTCTTGCCTCATGTGCTGCTTTTCAGGTGTTTCTTTGCTCTTTCTTTCAGTTTTCTTGAGCAGTTACATAGGTTTGTAGAGTATCATGTGCTTTTTAAGCTTTTGTTTGGTTCGATTCTCCTTCTCTCCCTTCAGTCTAAAAGGCAGAACTTGTTGGAATTTGTTAGCGATATGACCTTGCATTATTTTGAAAGCTTTACTCTTCTTTTCTTCACAGTCTTAGGGCTCACAAAGGACTACGTACAAGGATTAACATTATGTTCCTCAGTGCAGAATAAAGTCACACTGAATTACGCAACTCTCTTACATCCAGATGCTTTTCTCAGTGTCTCCTCTCCTACTCCTGATGAAATTCCTTGAATTTGTTTTAAAATGACATGAAGCAGGAACACAAGAAAGAGATTTGGTGATATTTGTGCTCTATAAAATGTTATTTCATGGTTTTTTATTCTATCCAAAAATAATACTGGTTCACAAATAGCTCAGCAGAGACACCTGTGTATCAAACAGACAGCAAAGGAATACTGTTAGCTAATTAATGATTCATTAATGAATGTCTGAAGAATCATCTAATACAGGATGCTTTAACTTGAGGGCTGAGAGAAAACTACATTTACTTTTGATGAAGGAATTACTGGGTGTTTCAAAGTAGTATCTGCAATGAGACTGCCAGATTTGAGTATGGTTGGACTACATGATCTTAGTGCTCTTTTCCAAACTTAATAATTTTATCATTCAAATAAATGCGTAAGTTTTGCTTCCTAGCTGCCCATGTTGTAGATCCTGAATTTCAGCCATGCCATCTTTCTTCATGTACTATTGAGGAACCCTGTGGTGTACTGCAGTTCTGGCACAGCTTGTCTTTCAGAGATCAGAGAATGAAGAGATTTGGAGTTCCAACTTCATTTTGGCCAAACTCGGTAGAGGGCTGAGGTGGCTCAAGGATAGTGCTTGGAGGCTCTGCTCACCAACATTTGCTCCAAGGGTGCAACCAGCTGCCCCTCTGATCCAGGTAGGATGAGTGCCAGGTGACTGAATCAACACTAGCTCAATCTTTTATTTGGCCAACTGTGGAAATAATAGTAAATAACATGTAAATAGGACTGGTTTTCACAGTGCTGCAGCAGCAGCTTGTCCCCATTGCAGCATGGCTGATGGGTGGGTTCTACTTGAGGGGATTGATGCCCATGGAGAGCATCTCCATGTCACTATGAAGACAGCCATTGTGGAGGTGTGGAGAGACAGCTCCAAGGACTTTCCACAGTCAGGGGAGTGTTGGTACCTCTGGTCTCAGATGGCAGTGACACTGAGGCTGGGGGGCATTGAGGGGCTCACAGGTGTCAGGGGCTTGATGCAGAGGCCTGCAGATACTTACAACTGGCATGAGCTGAGCTGGGTGTTTCCTGGTGCCTCCTGCTACTCCCTTGCATTTTAACATTGTCTTATCATCAACAGTTCTTGTTCCTCTCAGTCTTGCCTCTGTCCTCAGGTCAGAAGCATGCCAATGGCATCAGGATTAGGACTGTCTCCCCAGTGGGGGGCAACTGCTCCAGAAACGAAGGTAAGGGAACAAAATGGGATTTTTTGCCTCCTGCTGTTGGCTGTGCTGTGAAGCTACAGCGTAATGCATGAAGTCACTCAGGCTCTGGGCATTTCAGCCTTTTGCACCATGGAAACCAGATGTGTGTCCAGGAAGAGGCTGGCATTTGCTGATAACCAGCCCTGGGCCACCTTTCTGATGAAGCCTTTTTTTTTTATTTTATTTTATTTTTTTTTTTTATTTTCTTCTAATAATTCCACATTTAGGATGCAGGGACTACAGACAAGTTGGCCAGTTGAAGAAGCCGTTCATTCTCACTGTGTTTCTCCTCAGGAACTATCAAAATATGTTACAGAAAGCTTTAAATACCTGATCCCAAACTCATATTTTGGCTTTCCTAAGGCCTGAGGCTCCAGGCTTTATGGCTGCAGGCTGCCATGTGTAGTTCTGTGCCTCAGGACAAGTTATTACAGACCATTCCTGTGCGCAGACTGGAAAGATTCCCATGCACTGGGATGTGGCTACTTCCTCATGGAGGAGGTGACAAATGCCTCCAGGTAAACCTGAAGTACAATCCATGGGTCCATGTAAGATTAAAATGTTCTGTAAAATGCCTTTGTTGGCAGTAGGAGACCGAGGAATCCCTATGTGCATACGCTGTGTATTTAGCAACATATAACCAACAGGGGGCATTAGGTTTATGCTGATTAAATGTGTATTTCGACTTGGAGCAGAGAGAAGTCTTTACCTTGCTTGATTGAAAGCAGCAAGACTGGAATCCTTCATCCTGTAAATAAGTAGGATTAGGCCCTGTTTTTCCAGAAGATTTACAATTAGAAAATGCATAAGTCTCTTCTATTTCCTTTGTCTAGCTTGTGTTTATCTTGAGATGAAAATGAATACGACTGATGTAATTAAAGATCCAGATGATTTCTGTGTGGCGTGTAGCTCAAAAACCACTTGAAAAATCTAAGTGTTTCTGGTGTAAATTGATTTGTACTGATGATTTCCAGTCTTTTAAGCAGGAATTAATGTTAGGCAGCAATTACATTTTTCTGACAGGAGTCAGATGGAGCATTAGAATTAGCTGCTGCTCTTCATTATGGAAGAAAACTTTGTTCAAGTTATTGGGTTACTGAATGCAAAGGACTGTAGTGAGGAGCCACAGTGTGAATGTGAACTGTGGTCTCTGGAAATGAAAGTAGTATTTATTACAGAGATAATTATGATGGCTACAACCACTCCTGTACGTGGTTCACTTCATATACGTTTTGAGGGAGATGTGGTTTTTGATGTTTATGGCACAGATTAAAGAAGAAGCTTTTCCCTCTTCACACTTTAAAAACTGCAGCCTTCTCTGTGCTGCTGCCATGCTCAGATGGTTACGTACACCTTTAAGTGAAGTGCTTTCTACTGTCTAGAGTTAAATCAGGCTGGATTTGAAAATGTTAATGCTGAGAACTGCTTTCATAAAGATACGTCCAAATGAACTGTTGGCTAAAAATCTGCCAATGCTGTAAGTTTTGAGAAGTTGATTTCATTACCTGCCTTCCTTTAAAATGGGTTTCAAATAACCTAATAGCTTTAATTTCCTCCATAGTGAAGTAGCAGTTATGATTTTTTTTGAAGTGAAGTAAACAAATGAGCAACCTACAGCAGCAGCAGTGCTTTTGCTTGCTGGTGTATCTGGGATGCTGTGAGCAATTCTGGTCCCCCACAGTCAGATAAGAAAGATTCTAATTGGATCAGTGCCACACAGCATCTTCCTTCCCCTGAGCCTCTTAATAGGCCTATCATAATAGAAAAAGCAAGAAGAGTCTGGTTCTTTTTTTTTTCTTTCTCATTTTTTACCTAGCAAGAACAAAGGTGAGAGGGACACAACTGCACACAGCCAGTCCAGGAGCAGAGGTAGGAGCTTATGAAGTGAGTTGATGAAGCATCATATTTTTCCTTGAGACAAACAGATACAACTTCACGAACCAGTTGATGAGAAGGGCGATCTGAAGACGGTACCTGAAGTCAGGACAGATGGGTACTTCCCATGTAATCTCCCGAATGCTAAGTCAATACAGTCAGTGACTTCTGCACATTGCCCAACCCAAATCTGTCCTATCTTTAGGGGGAAATGTGTAGTGGTGGCATTGCTGAAGTGCCCAGGTTGCTCACATTTGCTACTTCAAGTGATCTTTGGAGGGAAGGCTGTGCTGCTCTCCCAGCTGAGGCACCACTTGATAAAATCAAAAATATCCTATGTTGGTAGGCATCCACAAAGATCACCGAATCCAAATCCTAGCTCCACAGAGGGCCACCCAACAATCAGACTGTATGTATGAGTGTTGTCCAGATGCTTCTTGACTTCTGGAAGCTTGGGACCATGTCCAATGCTCTGGGGAGCCTATTCCTTGTCCACCACCCTTTGGAGAAGAACCTCTTCCTGATAGCCAACCTGACCCTTTTCTGAATGAAGCTGATACATGTCCACTGTGTAAGGGGGGGAAAAGTCTATCCTGTTGCAGAAGAACTTTTTTCCATTTGGGTTTCCTGCATAAGAGGATGAATTGGAAGAGGTCATAGTACATTCTCCATCCCCACTGGCTGGAGGCATTTAGGAGCCAGGCACAAATGCTTGCTTGTCCAATTTGTTGCTGCTTGGGATTTCTGACTTCTGCCTGCTTGCTTGTTGGATCCTGGAAGACAGCTCTGCATTGCTGAGCATGTTGTGGGAGGCATACTTGTGCATGGCTCACAGATGTGCCTGTCAGTGCTGCATCCACACTGCTTACTTGACATGTTTGTAGTCTTAAGGAAAGTAACCAGATCATCTGGAAAGATTTTCTTTGAAAGTTGCTTGGTAAATGCCTTAGAACATCCTTCTTTCCTGTAAAGAAGAGTTCAGTGTCCTTAGACTTAACTCGGCTTGAACTGCATTTTACACATCTGTTGGACTTGCTTGTGTTAGTGAAGAGTTCTGTTATTCTATGTACCCAATAGCCCAGCAAACTGGGGACATCTTTTCCATACTAATCAATTAGTCATCTAAGATGTTCCTGCTTTCCAATGAAGTGCTGGAGTAGCAGTTGTTGCTTGTTACGAAAAGTTTGTATGTCAGCAGATACTGTTACACTTTCTGCAGAGCCAGCAGCAAACCCAAACCCTAATCAAATGTAATGTGAGAAAACTGTGCCAGTGAGTTGATGGGTTGAGATTAACCGTGCTAAAAAGAGGCAATTGCATAATAAACTAATTCCACAATAAGCTTTTTTTTTTTCCCCCAAACTTTTCTGAAGAGTCAATATTATAAACATACCAGCTTAAGGACTTCTTTCTGCTTCTCTGAAAATCAATATGGAAGCTTGCATGGAATTAATGTGAAGAAGGAAAAGGAGACACACCCTGAACCAGGACAGTTGAACTGTGCATAAGCTGTGTTAGCACAAGGCTCAATGCGAGACTGCACTGGTGCGAAAGCATTGAGCTGAATTAGGTGTTTACTGGGGAATATAAGTTGTGAGCTTGCAGATATTTTGCCGTAAGAGATAGGAAAAGGGACTCGCTAATTAGTGCTTTTCCCCCCCCTTACTGCAGTAAGACATAATTTGAGGACTAACATACATGGCAGAGCAATGTTCAGCTGCCTTCTGGAATGGCATGGGTTATCAGCTCCTCTGCTACGTGGTGCATCCATGGGTAATTGGTGTTGCTATTTATAGGCTGAAGTGAACGTTTCTATGTCAAACTGGTCTCTGTGAAGAGAAAGGTTTGAAGCAGGCATGCATCTGGTGTCATCCTTCTCTGTCTGAAAACACCTTTGGGGCAGGAACATGAGGCATCTGACTGGTGGTAAGAAGATGATCTGGATCTGATTGTTGGCTCTGCACTGATGTTATTTTTGTTAATATTTTTCACAATTGCTCTCTTATAGATAGAAAGTTCAGACAGAATACTTTTTTTTGCCTATCTTTTGACTAGTTTAACATACAGGCACACATACATAGACGTCAGCACCTTAATTGCTGAAAGTTTCTGGCTTTCCAGCAATACAAATCCTAGCAAGCATGCTTAAATTCAAAATTTACCCCTACCCCCTGCTGAATTCTAATGACAATTGCTACAAAAATTCATGGCTGAGTTAAGTCCCATTCTAAGTAATTTTCTTCTCAAAGATGATTTTTTTTTTAAAGCAATTGTAAGAAAAGCAGTTTAAAATTGAAAAACCCATTGCTCTTAACTGCATCATTGTTATTGGAACTCTTTACCCAAAACATACAAAATGCTCAACTTATACAGCCAAATTAGAAGTAAAAGCTAAGCTGTGATTAAATCATTTCCATTGAAGTGTATAATTTTCAGGACAATTTAATACCATCCATTCATGTTGATATTTCAGCTGCCAAAAAGTCGTCTTTTTTTTCAGTGTACTTCTCTAGTGTATAGCCTTTAAGATCCAGAGGCATCCTGTAACAGTAGGAGGGGACGAAAACAGTGCTGGGGTAGCTTTGAAGAAAGCTTTTATGGAGCTCTTGCCCATTTTGGATGAGGCTCCAGGATGTGATGTGAGCCTTATAGAGAGATGAGGTAATGAAGGTGGGAATAACTTTTGGTGACTCAACCAAACAAGACCCCATATCAGACATGAAGTCACAAGATTATATAGAATTCCAGATTTACCTTTAAAAAAGAAAAGTTTTTTCCCCTGGGAGTCCACAAATAAAGCCTGTTAGATGATAATCTATGAAGTAATTCATGTCTGAGTCTGCAGGAAGCCTGAAAACCATCTCTGATGTAGGCAATGGCTCCATCATCCAGCAGGGTGCTTGCTTTCCTCCTGTTCCTAATGGGAGACTGTGGGTAAGGAAAAGTATGGCGTGTTTGCACCTATTCATTTATTAGCACCTCAGTTCCCTGTTGGTGAAATTGGATCTCAAAGGAGAATATTATGGTTTTGGTGGGCCTCTGTTATACTTTCACACAGTATTGCCTCCCCCAAATCTCCATTTCTGCTCTTAGGATACTATTTTTTGAGTATCCAGCCAATACTGTGACTGGGATTTATTGCCAGTTCAAGTAGTCCAAACCCTTCTGTGAGGTGTTTTTATATCTGGATGCTGTTTTGAACTACTTTGAATGCAAAGCATCTCTTCAAAGATACAACTGTGAATTGTTTTCCATCTGGAATCCTTACTTTTGATGATTCAGCTGTTGGCTGAAATAACCCAAAATGTTGGGTGGTTTGTTTGTTTGTTTTTTGTTTGTTTGTTTGTTTGTTTGTTTTGGAGCACAGGAATTCTCTGTAAATCTATCTTCACCTGGCTGTTCTTTCAGGCATTACTCATTTGTGGAAAGGAATATTTTCCCCTTTAAAAAAAAAAAACAAACCCAAACATTTCCTCCACGAGGAGGAAATCTGTTGTGTTTTTTTTGTTTGTTTTCTGTAATTATTCTGTATTCTGTAATTATTCACTCTGTAATGTCAGACCAAAAGTAATTGGCTTCACTCACTTTTTTTCTCAGGAAGGAATCTAGAAGGTAAATACCTACAGAACCATTTATACCTCTGACATATGTGACTGCATCCTACCTACTGTTGTCTCCCACCTCACTTATTGATCAGCTGCAAGCTGCTGTCCTATGATACTTGATCTTACTGTTGGTTTTGTTGTTTGGTTTTCTTTTTCTAGGTTAACTCAGAGGACTCTTTCTTCCTCTCTTTTCCAAGCAGGAATTTGAGATTGCCATCTTCTGTACCCTAAAAGTCTCAAAGATGTGGAAAACTTTCGCTCTTCTCACAGCATCTTATTCTCTGGCCTCAAATGTGCTGCAGCATCTGCAAAGTCTTCCTTGCAGGATTAGAAATAAGAACTCTGTGCCCTTGAAAGGAAGGAAGCTTCCTCGAAGCCCACAGGAGTTTCAGTTCGGACCCTGCAGCCTCTCCCTGGTGTTGAGATAATGGACTTAAAAAGTTTGAACATGAAGTTATAAGTGTTACATGGGCTCACTTTAGAAGTTTTGGGGGCTGCTTGTGATGGCACAGTTGGACTGATGGTAACTGAAGCACAGACTTTGCGGGTGAAGGAATGTGAAAAACATCATTCATAAAATGAGACCATTTTACAGTGCTGTTTTTTTCTCTTACTCCCCTCAAGGATCAGATTCTGGTTTAAGGGAAGCCTATGGTAAAATCATAGCATTATAGAACCATAGAATGGCTTTGGTTGGAAGACACCTTAAAGATCATCCAGTCCCAACCCTCTGCTGTGGGCTGGTTGCCCCCCACCAGCTCAACCTGCCCATGGCCACGTCCAGGGCCTTGGGCACCTCCAGGGATGGGGCACCCATAGCTCCCTGGGCAAAAATAGAGCTTCTCAGACAAGTACTCCAAAATGAGGCAATACCTATCTGATGGCCTCTTCTGCCCCAGTGTCTATTTACTGTGACAGTTTTTGGTTACATTCCAAGTAATATTTTGTATGTGAGCGCATACATGCCTCATGCCCACTTGCTTGCATCATCTGTCTTTAGCCTGTTACAATTTTTTGGGGCGTGTGTTAGTGAAATCAAAAGGTATGAAGAAATAAAGCAAGATGTATAAGAAGCCTCATGCTACAAGTAAGTTCAGTAATGCTTAAATCTGATACAGGGATTTTCCATGAAACTACAGAAGATTCTCAAACCTGTTTTCTTGCACTGTTTTATTCTCTGGCTATTTCCACAAACCTGTGAGAAACAGGCATTTGGAGTACTTTAAATGTTTCTCCAGCTCAAACAATTCTATGAATTCAGTGGGCGCTGGACTCATAATCTTCTAACAAAGTGGGACTCCTTTGCTCTTGGATATCTCAAGTTGGACACTCACAATTACCAGATGATTCTGACCTTAATCTCACTGTGCCCCAGTTTCCTGTCTGATCCCTTTATGACAAGGAAAAAGGCAGAAGTTCACTGATGCCTACCAAGCACCAGGAGATTAGTGAAGAGCACCATGAAGAAATTAATTCCTCCATACTTGAGTGGAGTTTGGCTGGGGTCCCGGCAGTATGGCACAGGGCCATGTTGAATGAGAAGTGTGAAGGAGAAATACTGAGCATTGCATTCACTGAGAACCATCCGGAGTGCATCCTAGATGTACAGCACACAGGAAGCCTGGATTCTTCCTGATTCCTGGGTGCTTGCCTCAGCTATCCACATCTGTCTGAATGCTGTATCTTCATGCAAGTTCTGCATCCCTTTGCTTTTGCACTGCCAAAGATAGTAAGGGATGGGAGCTCCATAACCTCTAGGTCAGGTTGTCAAGACTTACCTGTGCAACACAGCAGAGAATGAAGAATTCTCACTGGTGCCAAGTCAGATACCAGCAAGTACTTTGGCTCTGAATTTTTGTCAATATTTTCCATCAGTTTTTATTTTTATACCAAAGTAACAACTTCTGTCAAGGTTGTATTGATTTCCTGTCTGTCAAACCAATTCAAATTTTGAAAAGGGAACAAAACAAAAGATGGAGAAAAAGGAAAGAAATTATAATGTAATCCCTCTGCCCACCTCTTTTTCCCCTCACAATTATTCTTTCTTGCTATTACTAGCTGTTAACTTGGCTATCATCAGCTGTTAAATACTCTACATGCAGAGGTATTTCCTCCTTTGTGTAGTCTGCAGTCCCAAAAAACAATGAAGGAATCCAGACACATCTTCTGGCCGCATCTACCATAAGCTCTGAGCTCAGATTTCATCTGAATGGTGAAGGTACAGAAGGGGCAAATTCTCCTGCAGCCAGCATGCCTCAGACCTCTCCCTCTGGCACCTGTTTGAGCCTCTATTTCAGCAATATACCCATAGGTGGTGAGATACTGGAAACCAAACATTGCTGGCTTTGGAGATCACTGTTGGTTGGTTCACATGCTTGAATGGCTCAGGCCATTGGGGCAGATGATCAGAGCTCAGTGTCTGACCTACACTTCTTCTAGGAGCCCCCTGAGTCCAAGGTGATGATTCTTCTTTCATAAATTTGTGGGAAATACATGCTGTGGAGAAGAACTGTTTTGGAAATATTTAGTACTCCCTGAAGTAAAATAACCCTGTCCTGTAGGTTCGCATTCAAAGGGTCAGCTCTTTTCCAGATGGACATGAGCTGTGCAGTGTGTGCTGGCTGTGCTTTTGCTGTGTTTGCTGATCTGTGCACATGGGGCATTGGGCTTTTTGTAGATGTAGTAGATGAAACTGGGTAAAGCCCAGAGTATTGGACATGATGGAGACATTTAGGAGAAAGGGTCAACAAGAAAGGGGTTGATGTGTAAATAAAAAGGCGTGTGTCTAAGCATGGGAGATTTCAAAACAAGGATGGGAATTGAGTACAAGAATTCAAATTGTGTGGAACAGAGGAAACAGGTGAGCAGAAGCCCCAGCAATGCTGTACAGAGAGATCAGATGCGTGGTATTGCCTGTACACAGATATTTTCAACGTCTGTGGCTCATCTGGGTGGCATGAAGGTGCTGTCCACCCACCAGCCACCAAAGCCAGGTTTCCCTGTATGAGGCAGAGCTCAGCAGCAGCATCGTTCCACCCACTGTAGTGGAGATGCTCCTGTCTGCATTTGTTAAAATGAAAGCAGAACCAGATCTCAGCTGGCAGCAGCAGCACTCCTGGCTCTAGGACTAGAACCGCTGCTCCTGCAGCAGCTCTTGGTGAAGCAGAGCTCTTCAGCTCTAAGCAGGGGTTGTGTGACCTCAGCACAACTTTCTGGACCAGGGCCTAAGTATGGGAAGGATGGGATGCTGGAGGCAGGCAGCAGAGTGCAGCACATCGGCTGTGCTCCTGCCCTGGCACGCATTGCCTAGGCAATCTAATAGCTACTTGCCATTGCCTTCTACGATCCTTCCTATTCTGTAGTTGTGTGCAAAGTGAGCAGAGGCAGAAGAAGTAGGTGGAGAAATTCCTTTCGGGATTTTGCTAACCATACCTTCAAGAGGCAATGTTCGAGCAGACCGTGGCTGGGGCAGGAGTCAGCGACAGCCGTACGGCGGTCAGCGCGCTATCTGCACTGACTCATCTGCTCCGCCGAGGCTCCAAAGCTGCCTCCCTCTGTCTCTCCCTCGCACCTGCTTTCCCTGGAAAATGGAGGAAGCCCCCAAAACTGGTTGATGGATTCATGCAAGGCTTTTTATACATTTCAATGCACACGATGATCAGTGGGCAAAACACACCAGGCTTCAATTTTGCGATAGAACATTTAATGATCCGTTTGCCCCCGCTGGGAACACGGGAACGCCGTCGTAAAAAAGCAATTTCCAGATGAAAATCTAGCGGTTCGACGTTCTCTCGCTTTCGGGCAAGGCACAACTTCCCAACGCTTCCTCGCAGACCCCATCTCACCCTCGGCAGGCAGCAGTCCCGCGTGTGGGAGCCCCGCTCCGCTCCGCCCCCGCTGCCCGTCCTGGAGCGGCCCGGCTGGGCGGACGCGCAGGCGCAGGGGGGCGCGGGCGGCGGCGCTCGGCGGCGCCGTGCGCGGCGGGTCCCAGTCCGCGCTGCAGCCGCCGCGGGGGCGCCACTACCATGAGCGGCCGCGGCCGCCCCTGCGCGACTCACGGGCACCGGGCGCACCAGCCGCCGCCGGCCCCCCCCCGACGTCGCCGCCGCCGCCGCTGCCGCCGCGCACCCCCGGCCCCCGAGCCCGGCGCTGCAGGATGCCGGGGGGCAAGAGAGGGCTGGTGGCACCGCAGAACACCTTCCTGGAGAACATCGTCCGGCGCTCCAGCGGTGAGAAATCCCCTCCGTCCGTCCGTCCATTCATCCCTCCATCCCTCCGTCGGTCTGTGCCGGAGCGGCGCCTTCAAGAAACGGCTCCGCCCGCGCTCCTGCCCCGTCCCCCCTCACCTCCGACGTCTCCGCGCAGCGGGTTCGGAGCGGGTTTGCTAAACCCTTCCTGAATATAAGGACTCGTCGTTCGCGTTTCTGACATTCCCTCCACTCCTTCGGGTCGGGTTTTCTTTCTCTTTCTTCTTTAGTTCTCTAAGAATTGGCCTTGCGACCGTTTTCAAAGTCTTTTTGACACTTTTAAGTGCGTGGCAAAGGTACTGAGGTGAGAGAGTGACTGCAATTTGGGGATGGTCATCCCGTACAAATCGGTGAAGAACCGCCGGCAGCTGCTCCTGTGCCCGGCGGATGCTCACGGCACTGATTTAGAGCTGCAGGAACGATTCTCTGCTGCCGGAGTTCGTTTCACCCTTTCAGTAAATTGCAAAGCAGTGGCAAAGAGCACTGTGCACAGCTCCGGTAAAGTTACTTGGTGGCTGTGGTCCGTCTCACAGAGTTGGGTTGATGGTTGGGTTGGTTGATCTTAGGGGTGTTTTCTGACCGTAGTGTTGGTGTGTTGGTGTAGGTGCTGCTTTGGCCAAGCCTTGTGCTGCTTCCATCTCTTTTCTAAGCTGTTTTTTGTTCGGTTTTTTTTTTTTTTTTTTTTTTTTTCCTTCACTGGCACTGCTGAAACACAAGTGCTTGCTCAAATGTCATTTGCTAAAAAGACCTCAACTTTGCATCTTCTGAAAGATTTCTTCTTGAAGAGCCCAAGCTTAGAGCAGCCTATGCATGGGAGTGAGAGGTGAGAGAGGTTGGCAGAATGGGGCGTTGAAAAAAGTTCCCAGATATATTATTAATGGAGTCACTAGTGTGATGTGAAGTCCTGTTGGGAAGTATTTCCTCCTACCTGGCTATTCCTCAGCTCTGGATTTAGCTCACATTCATACTAATGTAGCCTGGTGTGCTGGATTGAGTCGATTTTGATGGTAAAGAATGAATTAGCGATTCATTGATTTCCATAGAAGGAGTGGATTGAGGACTTAGAATTTGTTTAAAGACATTGCCTGACAGCAATTTTGAGGGGGTTCCCACCCTCTCCTGCTGCCTGCATCAGCTCTGTGGTCAGCAGCTGACTGTCAGGCTCTCTAGTTGCACATCACTGGAGGCTAATTTCCTGCAAAAGTGCATTATTTACCAGAATATTAAATACAGGCTTTATTAATAGGGTTTTACATAGCACTTGCCATCTGATAATTCCAAAGTGCCAAGTGGAGCTTAATTGCACTCTTAAGCTCATTGAGAAAGAGGACACACAGAGGTGTTCCCCATGCATTCTTAAATCTGTGGCTCAGATATCATGGTTGTTGTCCCAGAGTCAGGGGCACAGCTGGGAGCAGAGTTTGGGAGCACCATGTTTCTGTGTCGTGCTCTAATTAAATCACATGTCCTCCCTGCTGAGGGCTCAGGAAAGCTATGAGATGTCAGGAAACAGGAAAACTCAGCTTCGGAACATTATCCTTTAAAAAAACACCTATTCCTCCTGCCCAGGTTTTAGACTGGCCTAATTTGGGAGCATAAATCATGCCGGTCTGGTCTCTGTTCTGCTTTTTCTCTGCTGAAGCGTGATGTTACAGAGGCAAATCTGTCCCGTTGGACATCAGAGCAAAAAATGGATTGGGAATTTGTTTTTTAACTCATCTTAGTGATCAGTGTTGTACACTGAAACATGATTTAGTTCTTATTTTTGTCATCCAGGTCACAGCCTTATTTGGCCTTTATAGAAATAGTAATTTTCATTGGATTCAGCTCTGCTTAATCCAAACTTAATGGTGTCCAGTAGAGCAAATCTGGTTCAAGTATCTTCTGCCGACGCTTGGTGGAAGGCACGGATTTGGGCTGCTGACCACGTCCAGGCTTTTCTTTTTATGCTTGGATTCACCAGCTCTGAAGGGGTTTTTCAATGTCAAGTTGAGGAAGAGGAGAAAGGAAAGACTGGTGGTAGATTTTTAAAACACATCTTGAGCATCCTCAAAAAAAACCTTTCCATCTTCTTTCCTAGTTAAAGAACACTCTCTTTTGAGATTGCTCGCACTCACACAATCCCATCACACTTGACCGTAAATCTTTTCTTAACATCCAGGGGAGGGCTTGTAGATAGAGATAATATCATCTTTTAGGCCAACGGATACAGATGAAATATGAGTTATTTTGGCAGACGGGCTCTTCATCAGGGCTGAAATGGAACCGGTGGATTTCAAAATGAAACACAGGTGCAGACAAATTATTTGGAATTGTCAGAGATGGATCCAAACAAGAAAGCATTTATAGATAAAACTGCAGCAGTTTTAAAGCGTGGAACGTCAGAGGTTCCCAGCAGGAATCTAGTGTGGTGGGCAGCCTGGTGCAGAAAGCAGCCGTGTATTTGATTTTTCAGCCTTACTTTGGGATTTGCTTTTTAGGAATGTTATGAACCTACAGCATTTGGCTACAAATGAGGTTAAAATTGGGGGAGAAATGCTCCCTGTGTGTGGTTGGCACAGCATCCGAGAGCCCTGCAGGAGATGGGGTCAGCATGGCTGTACAAAGGGACACAGACCCCCAGAGCACACAGAGCTATCTTCAGGGTAATCAGTGCGCTCTGTGCAAGGGTGTTTTACTTTCTTTTTTTCTAGCACAGTGAAAATGCACCAAGTAAAGCTCTTATCTGAGGCTCCCAAGGATTGATGGGATCTCGCATCAGCTTTGACTGCGCCCTGGGTCTGGAGAACACCAGTGTTCTGCTAAGCTGAAAGAAAATGTGTTTTGTGGGAGCAGTGCTTGAAATCGCATTAAGGTGACTGCTTGCTCCTGCCATTGGTGTTTTGGGCTTTTAATAAGCACCTTTCTTAAAATGTTCTCAGCAGATGCCTGTTATCAC